TACAACATAGATGGACTAGTTCGCACAAAATTGTGTTATCATAAGTAGTAAACATAGCCATTCATTGGAGAGTGTAAATCCAAAATTTGATAAGAGAGAGTAGATAAAGGGGAGCGAATGGCTATCATTACCAAGGTCAATTCTCGCTACCCTAAATAGGTACGATAATCTCGAAATTCGCGAGACGAGGTAATTTTCACTCTCTCGGGTCGTCACTACAACTTCCGGTATAGAGTCCCATCCCGCTGGCGCTAGCGCCTGTGTTCGCTGTGCAGAGTTTTCACGCACGCTAAAATCGATGCCAATCAGTGTAATTTGTACAGATTATAATATGCAATGGAAAGCTTCGGGCAGAATTAGTGACTTTAGCACAAAAGGCCGTTAAACTCTACCGTGAAAGAGAGGGTTGTGATCACGAACGCCTGCACAGGAAGCTGTAATGTCGAAAAGCTATCCCATAATGCAATGCGCTTTTCAGGATTTTCCCCGGATCTCGGCAGAATCGCTATTTGGGGTAGCGAGAATTGCCCTAAAGGGAAAACAACAGTGGCAGTGGCGATATGGTGTAGATTCCAGAGTAAAAATGTCCAGTGGCATATCCAAAACTTTGGATAACGGGGTCACCCTCCCCTAAATGAGAGGGGAAGCCATGGGCGGTTCCGCATGCATGCCGTACGTAAATTTGTACACTCCTTTTTTTCTCGATAAAAGGACTTTAGTATTATTTTGTTATGTCATGTTTGAATTTTTTGTTTTTCTTCTATTTAAACAAACATATATTCTATCATACATTTTTTCTATTCGTATTCTTTTTCTAAATTAGGGCTTGTTTGGATTTCTCGCCTTCTAACCTATTTGTTTATATATATGTGTATGTTTAATTTAACTTTGTATGTCAATCATGTTAATCTGTAATGTATGTTTCTTTGTAAAATTGTGATTGCTTTTTATATGCACGGCCATGCTGAGGAACAGCCGTTGGCTGAAGTATGCCACCGTGCTAAAATAAAATAAACAAACAAAACCTGACATGGACTGCACCCAGTGTTTGATACACCTCTGGAATATTATACTCTATATGTATTCATATGTGCGATATCGAGGATACGCATCATTATGCTGTAGGTGTTATTTTCTTGTAATTTTGACACGAATAGCGTCTTCATGAAATATGTCATGAAAGTTGAATTTATTTAAACCTATTTATTTATATGTCTTTAAATAGTAAGTTACGTGTATCAATATAATATTTTGTTTTACCGTTACTGGTTATGCAGATCCAACTTCTTGTGACAATCTCTAGTGTAAAATGTTTTAATAAATTATTGTTTCAAACTAAAATCATAGATTCAGCTTTCACCTTCTTCATGTTCTTGTGCTTGTCTGAAATTGAACATTCTTTGAGCGGAGTTTTACATGACCGTGATTATATAATAATGATAACAATGATGTGCGTACTATAAAAGGGAATGCGTACTGCGTGATAAAATGTCAACAAGATAAGAGAGGATCCAAAGAAGATATGAAAAGACACGCGTAAAACGAGTTGATAAAAGTGCCGAAGAATAGAATGTGTATCATCAAATTTAGTGAAATTTATGCCTATTGGCTAATAACGCTCCTGCCTTCCCCCCAAACAGAAAACAAGTGGAGAGAGAGAGAGAGAGAGAGATAGGACAACAAAATAATGAAAGGGGAAAATGCGAAATGGTACATGAAATGATTACACCAATTTAAAAAAAAAAAATTGTTATTCAAGTGAGATATTTTGTCTGATAATCTGGGAATCCCCCAGCAAGATCACTAAGACCATGAGTTACATCATTCCTTTGTTCGTGATGTTTCATGCGTTGGCAAGGATCTGAATGATGACGAATTCTTAAGAAGTTAATTTGAAATTTCAAGATTTAAGATAAAATTATCGCCATTTAAGAAAATTCAAATCTGATATAGCTGTTCGGGGGAGGGGGGAGGAGGATATGTGGTGCTGTAAATGAAGAACGTTTTGTCGTGTGATATTAAACTTAGATAGCAAAATCTTTATTTAAAAAAAAAAGAAAAGATAAAGAAGATGGCAAAGACTTTCGAAAAATCAGCCAATATTTTTGTCCATCACCTTTTGAAATGTGCGTTAATCACAATGAAGTATTACGTAAACATAAGTTCTCGAAAGTTTTTGCGATCCTGTTGATATACAATTTTAGAGCATGTAAACTAAAATGAATACATTTCTGATGAAACAAAATTTCAATGTGAAGGTACTTCTCAGGTTGTAAATTGTAGTTTTGTCACTAAGTCAAATGGATAAAAGTAAAAACTCTATAATTATTCATTTGTCGATTAATTTTCTAGTCGCACTATTTGTAGTCTAGAATTTCGCTGTTCATTTGATAGTCAGTGATTAGAAATAATATGAATACGAGAAGTCGTAGATTGAATATCACATTCCTCATTATTTTTTAAAATGTCCATAAACTTTTGACACTTCACCGTGCAGAGCAATATTTGCGTTAATAACACTTTAGTGGCTTCGTATGTACGACTACAGTTTTTCGGAAAGGAGAAGCTGTCATGACAATCGTCAAAACAAAATTTGTTCTTGAGGATGCCTCTGCAAATAAAACAGATAGTCTTTATTCTTATGTAATAGGTTATGACGTGAACTTAAGTTGATTACTACTATTTTAAGCGTCCAAATCCGTGATCCTTATCACTGTCCAGTCCTTAAAATAAGTTATATGACAACTCCATAATCACTGTTAATCTAGACTGTGTCCTAATTTTTGACTATACTATAAATACTTTTTTATCAGGACTAAACATAATTTTGTTATCAATGGGCGTTAGCACAAATAATTAAAACCGCATTTAGAATTCGTCCATTTGATCAGTGGATTAATCAAATACTGTTGTTATTTTTGAGATATCATAGATTACATCCCCACAGGGGCGTAAATCCCGGGGGGAGGGGGGATGGGGGATGCATCCCCCTCTCGCTTGAAGGAGGGGAGATGGCCTGTACAAATATCCCCCCTGAGATTACAACAAAAAATCTTCCTGACGAAATACTCAATCTTTATGTTACTACTTGAAAGTGTGTCGTCTTATTTCGGAGTTCATTATAATAAAACACTACAGTTTGCAGCTGTCAGTATTTCGAAATATGTCTAATTCTTTTACTTTATGGTTGTCATATTTGGCATGTGCGTGCATGTATGTATGCATGTATACATTTATGTACATGTGTTTGGGTATGTGTGTGTGTGCGCGTGTGTGCGTGTGTGTGTGTGTGTTGTGTGTTTGTGCGTGCGCGATCGCGCGCGCTTGCGTAAATTAGTGTGGGCGTGTGCTCGTGCTTGTATGTGATGGCTATCGCCGATCATCCCCCCCCCACTCCTCGGTACGGATTTACGCCCCTGTCCCCATAATATATATATACTTCTTCAGTACCAATACAGACGTATATCAAAGAAAATCCGCATAAGTGACGGAGACACAACAAGCATTGTCTCTGAGTTCTTTGACTTTATTGTGCTACATCGTATTTGTCAATCTGCTGAGAATAGTCTAGGGCTTAGAGAGATAGTTTCAGGACAAATGGTAATTAGACTCTGCGTAATAGATCGAATTAAATAACAAGTAAGCATTGTTTATGGATAGTGAAAACCATTTTTTATCGGATTCATATTCTATTTAATTTAAATTATTTTACAATGTTGAACGTCATCATGAAGAAATATGGGGCAGTGTCCCCGAAGACTTTAAAATCAACCCTACAGTTTCTCCTTCGGTTGATGGGAAACAGGCGACACACAACGTACATCCTCGCGCTCATCAGCCTGGTTTTGGCCACGATCTCCTTACGAATCGGTGGACAAGGTCGTCGTCGACGTCGAGGTAAATTACCCCCTGGTCCCATGGGGTGGCCGATAGTGGGAATGCTGCCCTACATGGACCCAGAGAACCCGGCGCAGAGCGTATGGGACATGTCGAAGCAGTACGGCTCCGTGTTCTGTGGTCGTCTAGGAAGTCATCTGGCCGTGTTCATCAACGACTACGAGACGATCAAAGAGGCTTTCAGCAGGAAGGATGATGCGTTCAGTGACCGGCCTAGGATCACCATGTTTGAGGTCTACACAAACGGTCATGGTGAGTTATCATAGATATCTTCATGATGATGATGATATCAATACTAATGGAGTATTGAACAGCAATCATGACACTGCAACTCCTTGGGGGGGGGGGGGGGTGTTTTTATCAAACCTTAAAATCGGTCTTAAAGAGGTACTATGTCCCATTTGCAGCCAACATTAAATTCTGTAGAACTTAGCAGGAATTATGAATATGTCACATATGTCCTATCTGTGAAATTTAAACGTTAGCAGTGTCCTATGATTCAAATAATGCAAGGAAACCCGGTTACTTTATAGACTTCCCTGCCAGACACTATTGAGTGTCCGACTCACTTTTTTCCTTCTTCGGTAATAACATACAAAAAATGAGCTGTATGTAACATGAGTATTTGTCTACATCAATAACCCAATTCTTGTAATGGCCAAAATTAAACTGATTGAATCTTTGCGCAACACAAACGTACGACCATTCGGTACAAGGGTTTGAAAATCAGACTATATCTAAAATGATTGCAATCATTAAAGTCGATTCGACAACTAATGCTCGTTATTTTCCCACTAAAAGACATTTTCAAACCCTTCCGTTTTGAGGAAAATTCTAAATTAGTATTATCTTTCAAATGCCCTTGGAATTTAACCTTCATTTTTTGGGGGCCTGCAAATGGGACACAGTACCTTTAAAATTGGCCCTTTCGTACGATGAACCCAACTTCATCATGGCTGCCATAACAGTGTCAAGCATTTTAAGGACTTCATTCCTGCCAGGTACCAATTTACCGCACCTGGGCAGAGTTTGGCAAATGTCAAACGACATTAATGTTGCGACATGGACTCGAATCCCTTACCTTGTGGTTCACAGTTCAGATACCCATCCACTGGACCACAACATCTCTAACTCATGGTCCACTCGATGCTACTGCATTTTTATTCGTCATCTTTCCTCCATATTCATTTATTTAGACACGGCATTAATCAGTCAATCCAATAATTAACTTAATTGACTTATGCAGACGTTGGTTGGGGGGGGGGGAATATTACAGCTTAAGGCTACCCTTGTTGTATATTTCATCATCGCATTTTACATGGAGATGGAGGGGGGGGGGGATGGGCGGCCGTTTTCGCAATCGGTTAATAAACATATTTTGAAAAAATCTTTTCCGAAGGACGTTCACTTATTCCGTACTTTTGAACTAATTGCACATTTTAGAATATTTCAGATATGATTCTAATGTAAGTTGCTTGGTCGGGATTTATTTATTGCTCAATCGATCCAATGCCACCCCTCCCCCGCCCCTTCCTTTAACCAAAGAAATTAATCTACCGTTGTGCACGGTGGCATTCTGACCCTCACAATTTAAGTGTGATTGATGGCAACATGATGTAAGAAGTCCAACTAAAATAAAAGTACATAATAATCTAGTTACATACGCTATGGAAAAACATAAAAGAGTACATAAAGATATACAGTCAAACTTAATTTGTAGAGTTTGGAGGCTACAAAAGTTATTGTTTGATAATGTCTTCGAGAGAAGGACTTGTTTAAGATGGATGTTTTGGCTAATTATATTTTTGAGGTAGGGGAGGGGAATATCTTTTCAGCCCGTATGTTGCTCTTCATAAAGGAACAATTCTCCTTCCATCTATAAAGTGTATTACTCATCAGAATGCACCATCTCTCACATTTCACAGGGGTCGCAACGTGTTACTTTGATAATCACTGGAAAGAGCAAAGACGCTTTGCTATGAAAGCTTTCCGCCACTTTGGAGTCGGCAAACCGGACAGTGTCTTTGAAGAATACCTGATGCGAGAATCGAAGCACCTTCTCCACGCTTACTCACGAAAGCACGTGGCCTTCAACCTGAAGCCCTTCCTCGACATGGCAGCCTGCAATATCATCAGCTCCATGACCTTTGGAAATCGCTTCTCCTACACCGAGAGGACATTCCAGCAGTTCCTGCAAGCCCTGGATGATATCTTCCACGCCGCTGACGTAGCGGGCGTCACGAACTACTTGAGCTTCATGAAGTATCTCCCATTCAGTGGGTACAGTTCCTTAGACCGACGGTCAAGGGAACTCGAGTCTGGATTGTTCGTCCGTGAGCGTGAAGGTCACAAAAGAACTTACGTTGCATCGGAAACAAGAGACCTCATTGATGCCTTTCTACATGAGATTAGGAAGAAGAAAGAAGAGGGTGTCGATAGCGACAAGACAGGCTTCAGTGACAAGATGATTCTTCATTTCATAGCTGATATGTTCGCAGCTGGAACAGACACAACAAGTGAGTCGATTCTTTTTCATCCATACGGCTCATCTTTATTGTCCACGCATTATTAATGGTTATACGATTAGGACGAATTTTCATTCGAAATAAATTATTGCCTTTTACACTGTCTTCTACTAAAATAAAATATCGTAGTTTTATCTCAAAACTTACATATGATAATTTCAATTATATCATTGATCTTGTTAATATGACCTAAAACAAAAGTGTGTGTCTGAAAAAAAAAATACGTTCGAGAAGACTCCCGAGAAATCAAGGGGCAATTTCAAGACCTTAATGTATATCCCCCAGAAAGTGTTTAAAGATAAACAGTTCTGGTAAAAAAAAAAGAAAATTAATTCTCACAGAATTAAACGAAACTTACACTGAATGTTCAAGATTACAAATAAATGACATGTGCCGAACAATTTTGGAAGAAAATGTATACTGGCTGAGTAATGACCATGAAAAGACAAGGAAATCAAGGTACGTAGTACTAGCCCCGACATCATGTGTGTTGTCCCATATATAGCTTTCTGTGTACAGTGCTTGTTAATTTACCAAGACTCGGTCAAATTTATTATGATTTTGATGACTCCAGAACCTTGCAGTGCATACCAATACTTACATGCTACATGATTAACTGTTTCTGATCCTTTTCGTTCACAATGCAATCGCATTACCACTACTAAAGTTTATCTTTAAGGATGACATAATACGTCGTTGTAATGTTCGCAAAGTGCATACGGTGATGGAGAAGGCTTTATCTTTAGGTTGATTTCTCAAAAGACTTTGCGATGGTTACAATAGCTTTTATTGTTAATGCAAGTTAATTTTAATTATCATTAGTACATACATCGTCATCTTCATCATCATCATTATAATCATCATCATTATCTTTAGTAGTAGTTTAAAAAAAAAAATATTATTACTAATGTTATTATCATCATCATCACCATTAGTATTATTATTATCATTCTTCTTCTTCTTCTCCTTTGTCTTCTTCTTTTTTAATAATAATAATAATAACAATGATGATAATATTAGTGAAAATAAGAATCTTCTTCTTATCATTATCATCATTGTGATTTTTATTATTATTATTATTATCATCATCATTTTGATTATTATTATTATCATTATTATTCTCTTCAATTCCCAGGTAATTCTACCCAGTGGTTGTTACTTTTTGCTGCGAAGTATGAAAAGGAACAGCTACGAGTCCAGGAAGAACTTGACCGCGTGGTTGGTAGAGACCGTCTGCCAACACTGTCAGACAGGAAGAACTTACCATACACGGAAGCCTTCATGGTTGAGAGTATGCGGTGTGCAGTGGGAGGGCCCTTCGGTGAGTTTTGTGAAATGATTCTGGAAACGTCGGAGTAGAACATAGAAAGAAAGCCTCTTTATAACAAAAGCAAGTCAAAAAATGATCATAATTATGCAATGTATAGTTAACATGTCTTAGTGGCTACCTCTACATAAAGACCACTTGTCTGTAGTGACCATGCATTTCGCCTCCTTCTATAGAGAAATAAGTGCTGTAGAACCTGTGTAGAAAGGCCACTTGTATAAAGTAGTTACTTTCTTTGTTTCCTTTGGGTGGCATTAATGTATATGGTTTTCAATTAATAGTATTCAAGCCTGTTTATGGGGGAGGGGGGGGGGGCTTGAGGGGTCTTTGTTCCAATCTATATTACTATCTCTCATCAATGTGCCATCAGTATGCTGATTTATTAAGTAAGAAGCCAACTGACCGTGGAGTAAAAATGGTATATTCAGATGATAATAGCTACATTATTTAATATCGCAAACATATCCAACCCAGAAGATGATTAAGATACCTACAAATCCCCAGGCTTTAGCACACGTGCCCTAAATGGCTGATAGCATCAGTTCAAGAAATAAATTTGTACCTCGCACCTACTACACTTGGCTTAGTTGTGTCAAATATCAGTCTCATTTGATTCGCAGCAAACAGCTGATGACGCATCTACTAAATAATGACACCTTTAAGTTTCTTGGCAATTGACCTAACTAAAATGTCATTTTCCGCACTTCTCAATCTAGCTGTACCCCACGCCGCCGTTAGAGACACCGAATTCAAAGGATTCTTCATTCCCAAGGGAACCGTCATAGTGTCAAACATTCTGGCTGTCCTGAGAGACCCCAAGATGTTTCCGGAGCCAGAGGAATTCAGACCATCCAGGTTTCTCAGCGAGGATGGCAATCTCCGCAAAGATCTGATTGAAAGGGTCAGCGCTCAATTCGGAGTCGGTACGTTATAAAACACATAATATACCCCAGTCATACAGTCAAAACATCCCCATACCGACTCCACAACGACTCCACAACGATCGATTCCCGACCATTCGGGGTAATGGAAATTTTTGTTCGATCTGTTGTCGGTCTAGGACCAGTCTCGTTGGTATATCTGAAGTAGTATCTTCATGCCCTCGACAGGTCTCATGTGCACTGCGTCAAAGTTCGCATACACCGGACTTGGAGGAATGACTAATCTTGCACACAGCGAAACTCGTGTCCTAACTTGAACTTGCCGCGAGAGATCGCAAACAAGTGTCAGCCATGCCTTCCGCTACGAATCACCCATGTCTCTTGATTAACAACATTGAATTGCTCTATCATCTACTTAAAATCTGTTAAAACATGTTTCTTTTTATGACATATATTTTATTTTATTAATAATTTATTCGAATCAACTCCTCTCATCTAGTTTGAGATTAAATGAGTTGACACAATTTTTTTTCTCCAATAGGCCCTCTAAAAACGTACTGTAAAGTTACAGTGTATAGGAGCAGTAGATATTTGAGTTACAGTTGTCGTTAAAGGAAAGAAAAAAAAACTGCTTCATCGTGCCTTTTACATTCCAGATACATAAATCAATTTGTTCTGGCATCATTCTATTTCCGTCGCAGGTCGACGAACGTGTATCGGTGACCAAATGGCACGAGCAGAACGATACATCTTCCTCACACATCTGATACACACCTACAACTTATCTGGAGCCAGTGGTCCTGATTCGCTGTCCCTCAAGTCACATGGTGGCCTGACCAGGAATCCAGTGCCTTACGATGTTATTCTCACCGAACGAACTCCCACAGTGGCATCAGCGAAAAAATCGCATGGATTTTAGTGAACTTTGTCTAGAAACAAAAAATGTGCGCATTTGTCGTGCACATGCCTATGAGCTGATGACCAGTGCTGTATATTTTCGTGTACCCTTTTGTTTGTATAGTGCAGGTTATTGAAGGCCTAAACTGCAATGTAATTTAAGTTTTTCACATTTGAGTTTTGCTTCACTATTCTTCAACCAGAGATGCCCAAAATTTGCTTAAATTATTATTTGTCGGAACAGTACTGTCATAATATATTACTGCCCGATTGTGGCAATTTGATATCATCTAAATATGTAATACAATCTAGATAATCGACCTACTATGTTTAATATATTAAACATTTCTCATCTACGGCTCCAAATTATCTAGATGATTTCCTTAACACACTTATAAAATGCACAATTTTCCTAACTTGAGGTAGATTTCATGGTGAATTATTTGATTCTTCAATATTTAAAAAGTGATACTAATCAGACGCTCAGTAAAACTCTTTCACTGCATTTTATGAACGCCCAATTGATGGTAAATACGCCTAAATGTTTTTCCCCAATATACATCTTCTCGAATTAAAGTTTCATTATCTTAGGCAGAGTATTTAAAAGTGCATAATTCTTTCCATTGAAAAATAATAAAGTTTAATCTTTTATACAAACATGTACAAGATATATCAGAATAATGGATTCAAACAGGCCATCCTAAAACTGTTGTCTAAAGTTAAGAATTAAAATCTAAAAGTACATGTTTGTCTAAAGCAAATAAACACAAAGCCGGAATACTGCTAGAAAATCGTATACATATCGCCTTTTGATTCTTGTATATTTCGAAAAAATGGTACATGTATTATTTTGGTGTAATTTCTTTGTTAATGAACAACAACAAAAAACAAATTGTTGTATGAGTGTATACTTTTCTATTTGAAGATATATGTTAATTTATCAATTTATTTGAATATCATTGCCTAGCAAAAGCATTATTTGTACATGTTGTATATATCTAAATATCCACTGTTATGTTATCTTTTAAAGATGTATTGAAATAAATGTACAAAGTAAGGAACATTATTGCAAATTTTGTTTTATTTTGTATTTCTTATTTTAACCAGGATTGTGATGTAAGAGAAAGGTTTAAATGTTGAAGATTTGTCAATCTGGCGGGCAATAGATATTTCTTTCCTGAATGTTTCTTTCATGGGGAGTTAATTCAGAGTTACTCCAGATATTGATGAATGAACTACAAGTTGGAATCCAGTCTACAACAACATTCGTTTACAAAATATGCATACAATTTGAATATGTTGGTAAATCGGTCTATTGAGTCTGGTGTTGTCGAAATCACTTGCCGTGATTGTGTTCTAAGCCAGGGAGATATTTTTTTACCAACTTTTGGAAATATATCATTGCGAGGGGGGGGGGGGGGGGGGGGGCGGTAGCTGGGAGTAGTAATGGGGAATTCCAAAATTTAAAGCTATTCAAACGTTATTTTTTTATTTCCTTTCATATTCGAATTTATCATGTATAGGGCTTATTTATATGATTCCAAGCAATTCTCTTTGACGTAACCTTGTCAGGATTCGTTACCGAGTTGAGGTCAGGGCTTGATCATGATAATGGGCAGTCATCTATAATCCTTGTATCAGTTAGAGTTATTCAGTACCAGTTGACATGTAACTATAAATATCACGTGGTATTACACGCGAATTGTAGGTTCTTTATTTGGCCGGTGGTTTTTAGATGAACTAGATAAAAGCATGGACCTTAAAAGGTAGGCTAAGTACGATGTTAGGTAACCCCCACCCTGTGATAATTATGAGAGAAGATAAGATAAAGGGTCACTGCCTTGTGTGTGTGTGTGCGTGTGTATGTGTGTGTGTGCGTGTGTGTGTATGTGTGTGTGTGTGTGTGTGTGTGTGTGTGTGTGTGGGCACGGGCTCATCATCGGCCTTCATCGGTGAATGACACGTGCATTATCACCAAGCCCTCTTGTAAGGGAAGCGTGATTATGGTGCCCTATATCCCCTGTTCTGTAGTAATTTTCTCCCTCCCTTCCCTAAACGTTTCCTCCCCTCGTTCTCCTGTTCCCCACTTTCCGTCGCCCCTCGATAGGAGGCACGTGTCCCCCCATGGTTTCCGTGGATCTATGCCACTGCAATAATAGCTAGCCGCGTTGATACTCGTATATGAAGTTTGTAAACCACCTGGACGAAGCATGTGAAGTTTGACCTTAGGGTTTGCTGACCAGCATTACAATTTCATATTTTCCAAATAGTTTTTCCTTTTTAAAATTCACTTAATTTTTTTATTTTTCTTCTTCCCCCTTGAATAAAAAGCCTTCTCCCTTTTTTTTGGAGGGGAATTGCTCTTTTATAACACGTTTATCTTAATGTGTTAATTTTGCTTAATCCTAATAATCAATGACAACTACAAACGTGAAGTTTAAGAAGAAGAACGTGTCGGCGTATTTGTAAGTGACTTTGTATCAATTATTGCCTCACTATGTGGTGAGAATGTAAAGAAATTACTTGATTCAAAGAAACCATTATCTGCAATGACAGCTCAAAAACGTCATGCTTTTATCTAAACTGACTAATCACAATATAATGAATCACAAATGCACGAAGCAATAATGTTTTAGGACAGATTGTGGGTTCGTTTATGGTTGATAATATATGATGATGTTCCAGAGATAAACATTCTTTACATGCGTCTACAGAGGGCGACAATGCACATCAACAATAAGTTATGAGGTCAAAAACTTCACATTTGAGTTTTTAAGGTAAAACTGTTTACATCTAAATGTTTGTTGATTCAAATGAATTACGAAATCAAGGAATACATTCATATCTAAATTGTATAATGAAAAAAAAAGAGAGAATTGTATCAGATTTTCTGTGACAAAAGATGGATTCTCTGACAAGAGGGGGGGGCTTCACAAGTCCAACAAGCATTATGCTTCTTCTTTCTTTATTTCTTTATCTCTTTCTTCCATTCTTTCTTTCTATTTTTATTTTCTTTCTTCTTTCTCCTTTTATTCGATCAGGGAGGGCTAAACCCTGTGCCTCTGGATCTACCTTCAAGATGACACAGTTGATTTATTCAAGATATGGAACTGATGATATTATCGCTATTGGTGTTTTTCAACGTTTTTTGAGAAGCGCCCTCATTAACAGAAAAATCACATTTCGTAGTATTTATTTTCTATTGTCGACCTGTCACCTGGACAAGCTTATTCGTGCTCCATCGTTTGAGTAGCACCCACTTCCTCCTTTCTCCCTTTCCTTTCTCTCTTCCTTTCCATCTTTCTTTTCACTAACCCTTAATGAGAATTTATGTCATCCTCATCGTGCTGTGTTTTATGATCTTAGGTTCATTAATTTCCCTCTCCTGATACTCTTTTTCTTCTTGTTTTTGTTTTCGTTCTTGTTCTTTTTTTTTCTTCTTCTTCTTCTTCTTCTTTTTTTGTTAATAGCTTTTATTATTTCTTTTTCATCTCCTTCTTCTTCTCCTTCTTCTTTTCCTTCTTCTTCTCTTACTCCTTCTTCTTCTTCTTCTTCTTCTTCTTCTTCTTCTTCTTCTTTTGTCTTCTTGTACTTCATCTTCTTCTTCTTTTTCTTCTTCTTTTTCTTTTTCTTCTTCTTCTTCTTCTTCTTCTTCTTCTTCTTCTTCTTCTTCTCTTCCTCCTCTTCATCCTTCTTCTGTTTCTTCTTCTTCTTCTCCTTCCTCCTCTTCTTCTTTTACTCCTTCTTCTTCTTCTTCTTCTTCTTCTTCTTTTTCTTCTTTTTCTTCTTCTTCTTCTTCTTCTTCTTCTTCTTCTTTTTCTTCTTCTTTTGTCTTCTTCTTCTTCATCTTCTTCTTTTTCTTCTTCTTCTTCTTTTTCTTCTTCTTCTTCTTTTTCTTCTTCTTCTTCTTTTTCTTCTTCTTCTTCTTTTTCTTCTTCTTCTTCTTCTTCTTCTTCTTCTTCTTCTTCTTTTTTTTCTTCTTCTTTTGCTTCTTCTTCTTCTTTTTTTTTCTTCTTCTTCTTCTTCTTCTTCTTCTTCTTCTTCTTTTTCTTTTTCTTCTTCTTCTTCTTCTTCTTCTTCTTCTTCTTCTTCTTCATCTTCTTCTTTTTCTTCTTCTTCTTCTTTTTCTTCTTCTTCTTTTTCTTCTTCTTCTTCTTCTTTTTTTTCTTCTTCTTTTGCTTTTCTTCTTCATTTTCTTCTTCTTCTTTTTCTTCTTCTTTTTCTTCTTCTTCTTCTTTTTTTTCCTTCTTCTTCTTCTTCTTCTTCTTCTTCTTCTTCTTCTTCTTCTTCTCCTTCTTCTTCTTCTTCTTCTCTTCCTCCTCTTTCGTGGATTTCGTTGGAAGTCTAATTAAAAAGTAAAGAATACATGAATCAGGCCAAATTCCAAAAAAAAATCGGAAACTTCTCATTATTAGGATAAATTATAAACCAGCTGTTGGAGTAGATCAAATCCAGTAAAAAAAAACACACACAATTTCATTCCTTCTGATTTTTTCAAACTTTTGATTGCCTCGCCCTTCGCCCTTCGCCCCCCTCCATCGAAACCATATTTGAGGAAAACTTGAAGGTTATGTAATGTATCACGCGCTATTATTAAACTCCTCACTCATGTAAACGTTAACCGCAGTCACTTTGGTCGCTTATTTTGAGTACCAAACATTCTAAGCAATCAATAACTAGATAAAAGACAGGGACGTAACGAAATCGATCTCGACTCGAAGGGTACCAGGCTCGCAAATGTTGACCATGTTATGTTGTATGTAGGGATGGAAGCAAGTATACAAGTCCACCCTTCAGTTTGTTCTAAAGGAGTATTTTCCACAAAAAAGTGGCCATCTTTTTACCATTTCCTTCTTCGGTATTTTTAATTTCGGATGTAATTTCCGATTGTTGGTTGGTGCGCCCCCGATTTAAGAAGTTGGTGATTACATGGATCTGGTGTAACTATCTGGTAAGTTTTGTATGCTTGTGGTGTTTTGTGATATTGATCGGACGTTCAATCTACAAGATGGCTACAAGTTGCACGATGCTCTAATACTTGTGTGTCGTGTTATATGATGGTAGAGGTATAGTGGTTCATTCACTTGACTTCAATTCGAGAGGTTGGGGGTTCGAATCTATTCCTGATGCTTATTTCTTTTGGCAAGGCATTAATCCGCATTTTCTACTCGATGTCCACCCTCATGACCCAGATTGAAATGAATGGTAGACTACAAATTGGCCTCTCGGTTTAAGCGGGGAATTTTTGCCAAGGTGCATTAGGAGCGACACGGCAAGACGGACAGATCTCCTACATGCATACATGATTGAAAGCCACTTCCCACTACCGTTGCATGTATTGCAAACATCGAATGGTTTATCATGTCATCATCGTAACGATAGACTGTCAATGTGACCCCCCCCCCTATTTTCTAATAGGCACCAACCTTCCTATGAAGATCAATCATGCAATTCTGAACAATTCAACATGACCAGGTTCTAACAACCTCAAGACAATTTATTTTGTGTTTGAAACTGATAGGCCACGGTAAAAGCAAAGATTTTAATAAAACATCTCCAAATGGAAATAAGTTCCGTCTGTAATTACTAATGGAATAATATAAATAAATAATACAGTTATACGACAATAACCCAATCGTACACGATGCATTAATCATCAACACAATAATCATGATCAAGTACGACCTCACAGCAATTACTTTGTGTTAGAAAATGGTAAGCCACGCTAACAATTGAAAACCATCTTAAACAATATATGTACAACACGAAATTATGTTCTTCTGTAATTTGATTACGGAAGAATGCGAATCAATAATTACAATTGAGGCAATAAGGGAAATGTATACAAAATCGTGTTGAAGGACAATGGCGCCGCCCCCTGGAGATAGATAGTGTGTAGAAGTCAAAAGAAAAAAATAGTTACGGGCAAAAAACTTTCGAATTTGATTCAATATAGAATTGTTAGTAGGTATGACTCTTGAAATTTGCAGAATTTGTTGTTGTTGTTGTTGAAATGACTTCTGGTATGGGAATATAATTTCACATTATAAATTGACACAATTTTATCTAGCGCAGCGAAACTGATGCATTTCTTATTTCATTCTTAGAACTTAGATGACAATGTGGGCTTATAATTACAAAAATTGACCACAAAATACACGAGATTATAGCAAAATGTCTTATTTACAGGGAAATTACAACAATTGTGACGATTATAGCGTGAAATAATAGGAGAATAGAAAAGGGGAAGACAGTGAACGAATAACATATAAAAGAAGTAGAGAAAATAAGTGTAATGGACTACATACGCTGGTTGAATAGTCACCTCATTATCATCATATTTGGGCGTGTTTATGCTTCACTTTTGAAGGCAGAATGAGCGATTTGTAACGCTCATCGTAAACGCTCATCGTAATCGCAGTTCCACGGTGTACTGTTTATGCTCACTTCTCAGGCTCCTCCAGGCAATTCTCCCTGTGTGGCCTTAATTGGTCTTCCAGCTGGATTCGCAAACCTTCACTGTGCATACTACGTAGACCCACTAGAGGTCAGTGCGTTGACCCCATTTAAACGCGTTTACAAATTGTAAACGCATCTTTTTGTGAGTTTACGATCGGCGATCGTGATCGCCGTTTTTCGGTGATTCTACAAAAGTGAGCATGGACGCAACCGTGTTTTAAACTAAACGCGTAACAGATGCCTGATTCTGGCCAGAAAAAGTGAAGCATAAACACGCCCAAATAGGGCACATTACTCTTTGCCACTTTCTAGAGACTGAAAGTGATACGTGACTTGATCATCCAACATGCTTGATGATAAAGCCTAACATATATTAATCTTCAATATCAAAATCATTATCCTGACTGGATAGAGATCAATATTGTGCTTTCAAAATTAAAAACATGGCCCAAATATATGTTACATTCACCAACATCATGTTTGTGCCGTCGATATGCTGCTTCGTTCTCCTACATCAATACTGAACGATGGTACAGTCACGGTAATTATACCTCGCCAGTAGCGTAGCCAGAGTCCAAACATTTGAGGGCGTACCAGCATCGTGGGAGGGAGGGGGGGGGGGGCGGTCTTATGCGATGGATGAAATGCATTTAAACAAGGCAGTTCTTAGGGGAGGGTGAGAGTGGGTCCTTGCATCATCGATTCATATTCCTTTCTCGTTCTCCCGTTTCCCTCTATTCGCTTTTTTCCTCGTCATCTGATGGGGGTGGGGGGATTTGTCCCCTCCCCTCTTAGCTAAGCCAATGTGCTCCATGAGGCCTGCGTGCTAGGTCATGGTTCTCGGCTACTGATAAGCTTTTCCGTCAGATCAGACTCACCTTCTCCATACTAATTACTTGATTGGTTTTGCTCACGCGAATCATTATTATGCCAACAAAGAGAAGCGAATACCTAGAGCAAATAATTAAAACACAATTGAAAAGAAACTGTTTTTAAAAATGCCACTTTGTAACTTTGTAAACCTCATTTTCATCATCTTTTCAAAATCGATGAAAGCTTCAAGATAGATTTCATTATCATCATCATCATCATTTTTTCCTTCATCATCATCTTCATCATCATAATCATCATCATCATCATCCTCATCATCATCATCATCATCATAATCATCATCATCACTACCACTCATCATCATCATCATCATCATAATCATCATCATCCTCATCATTATCATCATCACTATCACTCATTATCATCATCATCATCATCATTATCTCATTCATCATCATCTACACCAACATCTTCATTATCATTATCATCATCATCATAATCATCATCATCATCATCATCATCACCATTATCATCATCATTATCATCATCACTCATCATTATCACTCATCGTCATCATCATCAACAACAACATCAACAAAATCATTAGAAACGTCATTAACATATTCAACACCGTATGCATCATCATCATCATTATTATAATCATCATTAAAATCATCGTCTTGTAGTCGCCATCATCATCATCATCAGTAGCATGCCTTTCAATTTACCTATTATCACCCCCAGTTCAAGCGTCACCAGCCCCCCCCCCCCCCATATCTTTCCCCGTGCCTCCTCGATTCCCTCCTCGATAACCACATTAAAATTCATAACTAATCATGGACGTAGTCATGGTTACCAGTCAAAACAAATAACATAAACCCACTGATTAATTTACACTGCCCACAATAAATGTGCATGCGATGCGTGTTTATACCTCAGTCACACCGAATGACCGATCCCAAACCGACCATAAACCAACAAACTCCATGCCAATCGGGGCACTGGTATACTGATAGGGGCCCCGGGAGGGGGGGGGGTGGCCTCCTAAATAAAATTCAAACGTGGTTTATTTGTAATTCGATGCCAGTGATTTACAAAATATGTTGCTGATTTTCCGTTTTATCATCTTCTTCTGCCCCCCAAAAAGTTTTCGCTTATTACGCCACTAAATCGGGGTGATGTCGGCAGAATGAAAATTATTCGCCCGACTCTGAACCGAACAGAGCAGCACCCCCCCCCCCCCCATCCGAACAATGCGTATGATAACACCGAGAGCAAACCAATGAGAGCCCCTATGGAGCTCTTAAAATGACTTTGTAACGTTGTTAAGATTAGAGAAAATGGTGCTAAGGTGCATTCATTGCTACATACTAAAGCCTGTATTATAACTTATTTTCATGGAAAAACGGTTGGGAAAATTCAAAAATTGGTTGGGAGAATTCACTGTTAGAAGGTGTCAAATTGTGACGCCTTCAAAGAAAACCATAAATATCTTTGTGGTTTGAGAATTATTTCAGGATTTTTGCATATTACAGGGTAACTTCGGTAGAAGGAACATAATAAGTAACATTTATACCAAAATTACGCATTTTTTTTTCATCAACCTCCAACAATGTTACCAAGTCACTTTAAAGCGGCTAAGATGAGACATCAGATGTTTCTTGCATTTTGTCGAGTGTACAGTATGCCCCCCCCCCCAAGGGAAGAGTGTAAAAAAGGTTCATATAATTAGGACGCAGGAAAGTTGGGAATGGGAAACCCATTCTTTTAATATTAAACGCAATGATTAATTCAATTCGATTCATAGTTTATTTAAAAAAAATGTAGAATATAATGATGCACATGCTGCAGCTAAATAGCCGAAATATATAAGTTTACAACTATCGAGGATACATATAAATGAAAAAGAATATCTATTCAAAAAACATATCCACATAATTTTACAATGAAACCATGAAAGTTAAAATACTGGTCTGATTAAAGAGACAATAGTTCTGTTCAAATATACAAATAAAAAAGATATTGGGTTTGTATTAAGGAAAAGTTTAGAAAAATCAACGATTATTAAGAAGATCAATATAATATGGTATTGCACTTAGTAACTTTGTTTTTTCTCGCCTTATTTGTAATTCCTACAATAATTCTGTTAAAAGTACAATGTCCCATTTGCAGAAGAAAAAAATTCCAATGGTAGTTGAAAGATATTACTAATTTAGAACTTCTTTCAAAACAAAAGGGCCTTAAAATGTCTTTTTTTGGAAAATAACGACCATTAGTTGTCCAATCGACTTTAGGTATTGCAATCCCTTTAGTAAATAGTCTGATTTTTAGACCCTTGTACCGAATGGTTGTATGTTGTGCTGCGCAAAGATTCAATTAGTTTAATTAGTTTAATGTTGGTCATTACAAGAATCGGGTTATTAATGTAGACAAATGCTCATGTACCCTTTACAGCTCATTTTATGTATGTTATTACGAAACAAAAAAAGAAGTCTGTTAGTCACTCAATAGGGTCTGACAGTGAAGTCTAGAAAGTAAACGGGGTTCCTTGCATAATTTGAATACTAGGATACTGCTAATGTTTACATTTTCTGTAACTTTAAAGAAACGACAAGCGATTGAAAACTCGAAAAATCTCTCAGCAAATTGGCACCTTGGTTGAGTTTGTGATGTCATCCCCTCACTATTATCATTAGCAATGTCATTTTATTTTGGTATAATTACTTTCCCTTAAATCTTTCTGTAAATTAGGTCTTTCATGCCTTTTCCAAGTTGATGTACATGTTATTGTATGAATGCAGCCTCGCAATCAGACGCAAATATTGATGAAGTTAACAAATTGAGATTATTTTCATATTAATTCTATATTTATATAACCATACATCTCTTAAATCAAAATCCACATTATTATGATGACAAACGAAACATATGTACCCTAATATTTCAGTGCATACATGCTAAAACATGTTATGATTATCAATTTGGCTTGGGTGGATGTGATTTGTTTGTCCTCAGAGGGCAAGTGTTTAAAATGTTTGCAAGCAATCGCGACCATATTGGTGATAGTACTTGTGTGAAATAGCTAGCTTCAATGGGGTATAATATGGACTTTTAGATTTGCCGAACGACAACGTGGGTTGCTATGATCGACGTCCTTTTAATGCACTGCCTTGAATGGACGTCACACGTATCAGTCCACGCAAATCTAAAAGTCCCTATTGGCTGATACAAGAGAGAGAGAGACAGTAGAGGAGAGTGGAGAGGCAAGCGTGATAATACCACCCCACCCTCACTCTCCCTACATGACTGCCTTGCTCTCTCGCATTTTATCCAACTAGTACGGCCAAAGCCCCCACCGATATACGGACGAAAATGCTATCTGTGCTGCATGTTTATGAATGATTTTTGACTATCGGTAATAGTGGCTGGATGCATGCTGCGTACCAGGGCAGTTCGGGTCGTCGGTTTGTTGTCGGGTGCGCATCGATTCCCGACATAGCGAAATTTGAGAAATGTTGATCGGCATAATGTCGGTTCGTTGTCGGTCTTCTCGATGTGACTGCAGTACGTATAACCTTACCCTTAGCGGAGATACGCTATCCCGCTCCATTGCACAAATTGTATTACATTTTGATGATACAATAGTCGCTTGATGAAATTCACCACGCAAGGCTTATCACTAATAGAGTTTATCTCAACGTTGACCAAACTAATTTTTATTTTGAAGGTCGCTCATGCTCTTAATTGATCAAATTTGAAATAAAATTCCCCAGATCATGATCTATTACTTTTTGAGCTTATATTGTTTTGCTCTGAGCACTAATTTATCAAATTCATCACGCATGGCTAATCATAATGGAGTCATCACTGTTGACCAAACTAATTGTTATTTTTGACCTTGTATTGTTTTGATCTGAGGAATCCCTTTTCCGTTGTGGTGAAGTGGCTACATACGCACGTATGTAAGGAACTACAAACATTATATACTATAATGAATATATGAATGACTATAAGAAAATGTTAAATAATTGTGACAACACAAGTGAAGATGGTATTGATAAATTGCAATCTTGATGTTGAAAATACTTAATGATTTTAATAAACTGGTATGATAATAATTATAATATATACAAAGATATTTCCAGTGGCGATCGAGGATTGTATGCGAGGGGGTGGGGGTGGGGGGGGGGGGGGCACAATTGAATTTTGGAACAAATTCTGACCCCCAAAATACATATATAATATTCTTCTTTAATATACATATAGGCCTATATTGTATTTTCAAGAATTCAGCTTACACAAAACCGGCATATAATTGTTTCCCTATATATTATGCAGGTTAAATTCAGAAATACCTTTTGGGTTTCAAAAGGGGCACGTGCCAGTAACTACCCCCCTCTAATCCTCATCAGCCACTACATAGGCCAATAAAATCGTAAGCGGGTTCTTTTGACGAAATATTACATATCAAAAGCCTTTTCAGTAAAGTAAGCTACCACATGATGTCACCAAAAGTCTAAATTTGTGAGCACTCACCCACCTAGAGAGTATCATAATTCCTCACTGCACCAACCCTTTCTATTCCACAACAGGAGGTTGCTAAGCGATTTCAAACACACAATTTGAGTAATTGGTTTATATTACACTGGCGATTCTATACAGAAAGGTCATATATTTCATGCATTATTTATTGACTCGGAAGTAATATGCATATAAATTAATCCCTATCGCCTAGAACCGTTCACTCTGTCCGTATAAGGATATTATCAGTGCGTGCGTGTCAGAGGATAGTGATGACACGCCAATATCATTCATTTGTTTTGAGTTGCATGTAAGGATTTTTTCTCCATAATCTGTCATGATCTAAGGTAGGCAAAAACTGTAACACAATGCGTGTATCCAAATGTTCTCATTTCGAATCTGCACTTGTATATCCTGAATTTTTTAATTAAGAAAAAACCAAATGATTGTAAGACTATTAGTTGTTATACGTTTGCATGTGAAGGCTTCTTTGATAAAAATGTGAACTCAATTCAATTCAATTCAATTTGGTTTATTAGAAATACACATGTAGGTTAATGGACTATGGGATCAAAACGTAAAACAAACAAAAAAGTAATAAGAAGATAAAGTATACATAATCTGTACAAATCCAAATTTTTTACAGGAATCTAGCTTTGGCAACAAAACGTTGCCTTCAAAGTAGAAGTAAAAGATCACTCGAATATTCGACTGACAATTAGTTAATGCATCTTCAATGTGATGCAATATAAAATTAATTATTCCAACTCAAAATGATATTGACTTAATATTTGTAGTCATCCTACTCAAACATTGGTTTGATATACTTTATTCGTCATCTCCCTCATTCGATTATTAAGATGAATGTTAAAATAATCTGTTTATTCATCCTTTTTAATGATAATTTTTCGGCATAGTACTTGCCAACACTTTAATTTATGTTGAAGTTGTTCGGTTGATACGTTTTATTATTCACATGTTCCGAAAAGAAAATCCATCATCCGACCTCGAATTCCATTCAAATAATTACATTTCAATTTTTGATTCATTGATTCTGTCCGGATGAATACCTATTAAATAATTACTCACGTTTCGACGACACAATTGACTATCGGGCCTTGAACATACGAAAAATGACATTTTGTTGTATTACGTGAATCGACTATCCCATATATAGGTCTACATTGTTAGGGTAAAAGCGAATTGCATTTTTAGGTTCAAGGTGATATTCATTGTGCAGTAGATTCAACAGATCAACGGGGCTTTTCTTTTTAATGAAAAGTATGACATTCCCTTCATTTTATGAACGTCACTCTTCCTTTTTTCAGAGCCCCAATCGGATTTTGATAATTCATCAGCAGAAGCAGTGGCAGCCTCCCACCATTACCACATCACTCGAGGACGATTCGAGAAACCCATTGTGACGTGGCCTCAGAGCTTGGAGCGCGTTGGATAATAAACAAATTGTGGATTATTAACTTTGCAGACGACACGCCCGCATCCCACCAGGTTTTCCCGCCATAATTGTTGGTTTTTTGGATAGTTCGTTGGTAGATTTCGACCGCGAAAGTAAAGGAGGAATACGTTTATATTTGTTAAACACTTCTACTCTGCAGGACAATTCAACAGTGAATACTTTTTTAAAAAGCTGTTTCAGAGTGAGACGTTATTTCAACAGTACTCACTGCAATTACAAAAAAGTAACAATAAATCGTATACTCCGAACGTGGTGGATTCTTAACATACTTAACTTTCCTTTATCAAGAGCAAGTATTGTCAAACTAGCCGTTAGGAATGTCATATCATTTGGAATATCGATCACAAACTGTTTGCACAAAACCACATTAGTCATGAAACACTTCCCAATTAATTTCATTTTAACTTTTTTGTAACAATCGCATCAGTTTCCAATATTTGAGCATTCTGGTCTTCGAACTCTACAGAAGAAGAGAGAGAGGGAGAAAGAGAGGGAAAAACCTCATCGATTGAATATTAATTTGATTCGAGAAGAAGAAAGAGGACGAAAATCTAGCAAGCACGTGACGATATTTGTCCATTGATTTCTTGTACCGTCTGACACTCGACAAACAAAAATGCCTGAGCCGGAAGAGGAGTATTACGAAGATGGCGACGAATACGAAGATGATGATGAGGAGGAGGAGGAAGAGGAGGAGGATGAGGATGAAGATCAAGGATCAAGGAAAGGCTCTGGGAAGTCGTCTGGGAGTGGTGGAGGCAAGAAGAAGAAAGATGGCATCACAATGGGAGACATGGAAGTCGTTTTCACTGAAGAAGTCAACAAGAAGTATCTGTGTACGGTCTGCCAGCAGATCCTTCGCTACCCGGTCCAGTTTGAGGAATGCGGTCATCGCTGTTGCTCTGCTTGTCTCCCTGATCTTCTAAGGTAGGTCCTCCTTTATTTTTTATGGCATCTGGGGGGTATTTCACAAAGATCCTAAGTTGAACTTATCTCTAAGTTGGACTTAAAATTTATGGGAAGCCATTAGCATCCTTGAAAACATTTTGTAATTTTTTTTTTAGAAGGCATAAAATGTTGATTCAAATCATTCATATTTTCTATTATCATGGGAGATTTCATGTTCTTGATGTGGAATTGATGAAAAGTCTAAAATACTCAAATTTTTGCTTTTGAATATATTTCATTTTAAGGCTCCAATGGCTGTCCATAATTTTTAAGTCCAACTTAGAGTTAAGTTCTACTTAGGATCTTTGTGAAACACCCCCCAGATGTTAGAGGTTTTGTGGTCGAGTGGATACGTCATCGGACTGACGATCACAAGGTTCGCCGTTCGAGTCCCACCGCGGCACTAATGTCCTTTGGCAATACATTGATCTACATTTGCTACTCTCCACCCAGGTGTTAAATGGGTACCCGGTAGGATTTGAAAGCCAATGTGGTGATGCTTAGCAATTTGAGCCTAGTAGCTCTTGTTGGAATGCTCCCCAGGGAGTGGAGAAAGTGCATACATTGTGTGCCAGAATCCGATGACCGGGGGTAATAATGTAAAGCGCTTAGAAACTCGGACATTCCCGATGTATTAAGCGCTATATAAGCAATAATATTATTAATATTATTATTAGATACTTTTGGAATGTTGCTTAAAATATCATGGTTTTTAGGGTAATTTTATGCCTGTATTAATCACCTACTCATATTTCATCAGTCATCATTTACATAATGTGAAATTTATATCAGTTCATTTTTTTTTCTCCTGATTTTTTTCCTGATCGATTTTTTGCTGTTGGATGTAATGTTCTATTTTGTTCGGTCTCTTGTCGGGCTGGGGTCGGTATCGTTGGTGTGACTGAGGTGTAAAGAATTTTTTTATCTTTTGCTATTGATGACACGTTTTTAATGAAACAGTGCACAGTCGTTCAAAATTATCCCATAAGACATATATTTAAGTTGTCTGAATCATTCGGTCATGATTAAAAGAAATACATTATCAAAAATTAGCAACGAAAACAGACATACTAAAACTTTTCCTCTTCCCCTCAATCGGAGTTGATTGTAAGAATGAACAGAAAGCCGAAATCTTGCGATTTACTCCGATGAGGGAAAGGCGAAAGTATGTTTCTCTGCTATTTTTCGATTTCAATCATCTCTTTCGAAATAAATCTTGGGTCATATTGATGTGCGACAGGTTTATGTCGAATTACAGCTTTATCTTCTTGCAATATCCCGTTATAATTTTCCCGTAAACACGTTTTTACAGGTCATGTGAAATTTGTGCGATTAATCAAATATAAAGCGATATACTCAAACATTGTTTGCGCCCACACGTTTACCTCGACGACCCAAAGCATATAGGGTTTGCTTTATAAGATTTTTGAAAAAGTGATAATATTGCAAGGATTGGGGTCGAGTTAACATATTTTTTGTATTTGCTGATGCCCGACTCGGCCTAGGTGTATGGGATATATTGGCACTACTATGAAGATATTATTTATTGACACATCGAACAACATGATTGTTATGATTTATTATGACTGCTCAGCTCAAACCATGCAGATTGATTGCTAAAGCCCCCAGTAACAGTTTTCAGATTATATTTTTATCGACTATTTTATGATCAACATTGTTTCGCATACCATTATGACTATTATTATTATCATGATGATGATGATGATGATGATGATGATGATAATGATGAAGATGATAATAATTTTAATTATTATTATTATTACTATTACTACTACTATTATTGTTATTATTATAATAATTATCATTATTATCATCGTTTCTACTGTGACTATCATTATCATTATTATTATTATTATTATTATTATTATTATTATTATTATTATTATTATGATCATCATCATTATTATTGGTAGTAGTATTGGTGATGAAATTATGAATGAATGGTAATAAAGTGGGGAATAACCTGTAATATATAATAACTTATGATCATTAATTGTTGACTTTCAACATAGGCGTACGAGGCAGAAAGGGGAGGGAGGGGGGGGGGGGGTCTATGTGCTGTCCGTCGAATTTTTAAATTTCAAAACATGGAACAGCCACTAATCTGGCAATAAAAAAAAATCAATATTTATAAAATTATCTCAATTAGCATATGTCTTTGACGACTTCCATTGCCATAATGAGTATGACGATGGCCATGATGAAAATATAGATGATAATATCGTCTAATTAGCTTTTCAAAATGCATGAATTTAAAGTTATTTTCGAAATATTATTTCAAAAAGATGAGATGGATTTGTTAAATAAATTAGAAATGACCAAGAACTTAGGATTAACATTTAAATTCATACCATTTTATATAATGTATTATTGCTATGGCTATTATTCTTATTACGTTTTTATCATTATCATTTTCTATTACTATTATTGTTATTAATATCATCTTTCGGATCATGTTTATAATTTCGCTCTTGCCACAGAGTATCCCCCAGATGCCCATTAGACCAGGCTCCTGTAGCGAGAGACAAGGTAAGAAAAATATATGCTATTTAATGAGATCAATCATTAAATATACAAATCAAGATAATTACTAATAATTAGTCATAATGTAATGCAATCGGCGTGTAAAGCGAGCAATATATCAATTTTTTCTCATCCATACTATCTCCTCATTTCTCACTCTATCTCACCCTGTCCTTCTCTATCTTTCACTATCTCTACGCTCTATCACATACTCTCTTTTCAGTATCTTCCACTCTCACTTTCATTCTCATTCATTTCCCCTTACACTATGTACAGGCACGTATGTCTCAACAAATTTGTTTGTTTCTCTCTCCCCACTCTCTCTTTCTCTTCCTCCCTCCCATCTCTCTTTCTCTCTCTCTCTCTCTCTCTCTCTTTCTCTCTCTCTCCCTCTCTCTCTTCCTATCTCCCCTCTCTCTCTTTCTTCCCCCTCTTTCTAATTATTCCCCCTCTCTCTCTCTTTCTCTTTCTCTCCTCTCTCCCTGCTCTCTTTTTCTTTTCATCCTTAATATCCTTTAGTATCGCGGATTCTGATATGCTGTTGCTCAATGCAATTCCAAAACGCCGAATACAACCATGTACAGACTAAATTTTTATTTACAATAACACATTCTACAAAAACACACACCCCAAAACACAAAAACTAGTTCACCAAGATGCCCCCTCTTTCTCTTTTTACCTATATGTCTTATACCCCCTATCGATCCTCTTACGCCCTCATTGTCCGTCCACAAAAGAGGTTCATCCCTTATTGATCTGTCTCCATAGGAATAAAGAACACATGCCAATGCGGGGCAGGGATGGGCGATGTGTTCCGGTCAATACCACCTTATGAATAATTCAATCAGCAAATTGCGTGCAAAAGGACAAGAGGGCTCTATTTAAGAATTTATTACCAGATGCGAGGATATGCCTATTTCATTGTGATGAAATATTGGCGAGCGCAATTTTGAGGCGAAACGCCGTCACCGTGCAAAGTGTGTATGGAATTGTTAGTGGTCTGACAAATCAATTGATACACATCCAAAGAATTCCTGTTTTGACGATTTTGTAGAATCCAAGGAGTAGCTACATTGTTTTATAAGAGCCTTGTATTCATAGGGCTAGGGATAGGGGTTATTATCAGAATATGTGTTAAATTAGCAGTGGTTTGACAAAATAATTGATAACCACTAAACGAAGAACCATACGGGTAACTACATCGCTTTTATCCATCAACATTAATTTATTAACATCATAAATTTACAAAGTAAATGCTAAATTCATATTAATACCTTATCTCTGAACATAAAATATAAAACTAACAGAGAACATGCCCTCGAAAATAGATTTGCATTTACATTTCAACATTTTAAAATTTGCTACAATGAAACGAGTAAGAAATATGTCAGCTCAACATTTTGTCCTTATCTTCAAATTTTAGAGAACTGCAGTTATTCACAACTACATTACTTATAATGTATCAAACATTCCTATAAAATAAAAATATTTAGAATTAATAATTATGTATGGGGACTGGGGATCAAGGTGAGGACTCGTGTCCTTTGGCAAGACATCAATCTACATTTGTCACTCTCTACCCAGGTGAAGCAAATGGGTACCCGGTAGAAAGGAATTCCTTGAATGCTTTAGTGCCTTATTATTGTGGCTTACAATGATATGGGTTATATAGTCAATAGTATGATATTAGGGTAACTTAGTATAGGGTAGTAGTAATAAGATGAAAACTATGTTAATATATTGTTTCCAAAAGAAAGCCCTTCGTATGTGTACACATTCACATTATATAGCCAAAATGATACAATATTTTATGAACCAAAAACGTTAAAAATCGCTGACATTCACATTTTTCAAACTGCAATTTTTATGTATCTTGGATCAATCCTATGCCATTAAGCATTTTGAAATATCTTTGTTTACAATAGTAATACACATTCTTATCCTACACGACATTCATCCGACTTCCATTAACTGACCTAAAAATTAGTATGGCCTTTATAAATCGAAAAGACACCATGGTCCAGATATTTGGACTGCTATATACCCCACAATATTAAACACTCTGCATCTCTTTATTAATTCAAAGCCTTGATGAAAAATATTTGTATCCAAAAATTCATGAACATTATAAAGGTCTTAACGATTTCAATTGTTTGTTTATATAAATTAATTTAAGATGATCAGTTCATTAAACTAAACGAATCGAACACTTACTTCACCTACACACACCCACATGCACACCCTTGCAATTTGTTTTCTTTGTTTTCTTTCTTCCCACTTTTTAACCGAACTCAATATTATTATTGTTTTCATTATTTATGATTTATGTACTATGTATTGTTTATATCTGGATTCATTTAAAAATGTTAAAGCATATAATTATATTTTTATGTCTATGGAATTATTTTTACCTTGTAAATTCACTTGCATCAGCCTCCAGCTGTATTGTTGAATATTCGAATAAAACCTTATCAAATCAAATCAAATCAAAATTTGATACTTTAACAAAATATCTTTATACGTGACACTCTATTCTCCTACATACTCATACATGTTTAACTGTACGTGACTATAGGTCATTATAGGTGAATTGATTAACTTTCTCATAAATATTTTTGTCATTTGCTTATCTACTTTGTTATTTATTATGTTGTTTATATATTCAAATTTGTTATGATTGTAAAGCGCATAGAGAAATTTATTATGCGCTTAATGCATATTCTCTATTATTATTATTATTATTATTATTATAACAGCGCCCTCCCGGTTGCTTTCGACTCAAGCATTCATGCTTTATATAATAGTTGGCCTCTGCATTTATCTTGATTATTTGATTTACCTCCATTCTTTCAAGTAGGCCTATTCAATTATATAAATATATGCATTTTTCGTGTATTTCAGTTGTTAAAATGTAAATCAATTATATTATATGCTATCATTGTTATTTGAATATTTTGTATTTGACTTTTTAATTAAATAATGTGCTAAAAAAAAATCATTAAAAAAAATGAAAGCGCAGTATAATATATTCATATAATTAGCCGTGCTATATAAATTGATATTTCAGTATCATTATTAATAAATTGGAGGTTATAACTGATAAAAGTCATTGAATTAAACAAAATCTTTGATTTTGACCCTTTTTACAGGTGTACGTGGATACAGCATTCGGGAACGAGATAGGAGATCTGAGTGTAAAATGCCCGAACCACGACAAAGGCTGCCCATGGACGGGGGTCGTCAAAGAAAACAAGGTAGGTCTTTCTATTACCATCACAGGCGGCAGCTCGGTCCACTAAATGGAGTCTTGCATGAGTTCTGTTTGATATTAGTAAATCTCATTGTGGACTTAGAGATCAAATCTATTATCAGACTGGAAGTAACTTATAAGTATTTTTAGTGATTTAATTTATAAGTCTCACGATAGTCTTGTACTAAATACAAAAGATTTGTCCCCGGTTTTAAATTCTCTTTGACTTAAGAAATAAATCTTTCGGAATAAAAAATAATTTTTCAGAAATTAAATGAGTGCGTCTTTGTAATGTTTGCACATTTTTATTAGGTTATGGACAAGGCTACTGAAGTTGCCTGACGTTGATTTTTCGAAAGTCTTTGCGATCGTGTTCTAAGAAAATAGCTGGGTGATGAGGAATGTAGGGTAACAAGATGACGCTAATCGACCAGAGAGAAAGAGAGAGAGAGAGAGAGAAAGAGAAAGGGAGAGGGAGAGGGAGAGAGAGAGAGAGAGAAAGAAAGAGAAAGAGAAAGAGAAAGAGAAGAGAAAGAGAAAGAGAAAGAGAAAGAGAAAGAGAGAGAGAGAGAGAGAGAGAGAGAGAGGGGAGGGGGGGGGGGGGGAGGGGGAGGGGATCACTCAGATGTTGATCTTAACTGTCATTTGAAAGAAATATGGAATGATATATGTATTGGATTGGCATATGTCATTCAAATCCAAAGACCCCAACTTACAATACTACATATCTAATTGAAATGACTACCCATAAAAAGTATTTAGATATATACCATTAGAAATTAATCGATAGCCATTAAAATATGGACTGTAGCATGCGCTTTAGATAAGGTCTTGACAATCATAAACACTTCAAGGGAAAGTAATTGGTTGTTATGGAAGCCATGACCCGCATATTATATCAATCGATTCCTTGTCATTCTGTCACTCTATACATCAAGATTATAAATGAGCAAACATTGTCAAAACGAATGCCGAGACGACTACCTCACAGATGGGAATCTTCTTCAATTATTTAAAAGAAAATATATAAATCAAGCATTTATCTTGTTATTATTACTCCTTGGATTACGCACACCTTTTAAGAGCTGCAGCTATTAATATCTGTTTTTTTATACCAACGATTTGTCAACAGTACGGTGAGTAATTAATTATTTAGTCATTTTTAATTGAACGCACCCTGTTGAATTGTAAGGCAATTTCAAAGGAGACCATTGTGATATTACAAAAGGGTGACTTAGTTTACCAATTTGAAATTTGATACTTATAACTCCGATTTCAACGCTAATTTTGACACTAATTTATGTATGAAACTATATAGCAAATACCCATCGTCAGATCAATTAGGCTAATGACTGCGCGCCAAACTAAAGCCGTTCAGGCTAAATTGCATAATTTGCATACAGTTATCCACATTTTAATCAAAACGCGTATAATAGAGGTGCAATTACTGCCTATGTAATACAATTCAACGAGGTCAGAAAAAAGGCTAACGAGATTGAATAGATATTGAAATTGAACATTAATGTCGGGTTCAAATTTGACGTCTCATTAATTAAAATCATTTTTACCCATAGGCTACTATAAACGTAATTCCACTAATCACATTAATCAGTCCCTTTCTCAGAATAAGATATTGCCTTCTTGTCTCTTTTTCTTAAATTATTTTCAGGGAAGAGGGAGATAGGGGGTTAGGTGGGGGAAGAGGATTTTGCTTGAAGGGGTGATAAATATGGCAGTCATGTATGTACAACAAAATCATGACCACCAAACCTTCATCAGGATGACGAGATGTTTCCAACAAAGATGGGCCACTATTCTTGTGTTTTTCTTTCAGTTACGGTTGAAGAAGGGGACCTGAGGGGCTCAAGCCTCACTGTTTCTTGAAGCCCCAAATTCATCTTATTTATAAATCAATTTAAGTTTCGTCATATTCGCATTATTTAAATACGACCTCTACTAGTTTCCCCTGTATTTTTTATTTTGAGAGGTTAGTAAAATTGACTTCGATAACTTAAAAACGACATCTTCGACGGATCATCTTAACTGGGTTCTCGACTGCTCCCTATGAAGGACCAATCAGCAAATTACATGAATATGAAAAGAATTTTTAAAAGAACTTTTTGGACAGGATCATCTTAAACAAGCTCTTTCTGTAGGACTTCTTCGCAAAGCGCCTGTTTGCGGGGTAGAGTGTCCCAACGGTTCCGGGGTACTTCTTCAACAAGTTTCAAGTGATTCGATTGACGTTTTTTGAGAGATCACATCAAACCGTATCTCGACTTCCCTTTGTAACTTGATGACTTGATGACTTTATTTTGTAGGAACACTTTGCAAAGTGCCTGTACATAGAGGTGGAGTGTCCCAACATCTGCGGGGCCCACTTCGACAAGAGGTTCTTGGAGTCGCATCTGGAGGAGGACTGCACCAAGCGTATGGTCCAGTGCGAGTTCTGTCAGAAGAAGATCTTCTTTAAAGACGAGATTGCCCACATGAATGCCTGCCAGAACTTCCCAGTGCCATGTCCCAACGGCTGCAAGCTCACAGAGATACCCCGTGGAGAGGTGAGATCAGTATACGTGCAATGATTTTGCTTCTTCCTGTTCATCACGTTCATTTCTTTGCTCTACTAAACCGTTAAAAGCCCGGCCCCATCAACCCGACAAACCTATATCAAAAGGTTTCAATCTCTAACATCTAGGGAGTGTTTCACAAAGGCTCTTAGTTGAACTTATCTAAGTTGGACTTAACAATTATGGAAAGCCGTTGGCATCTATGGAAATATTTTGTAAAAGTTATTTTAAAAGGCATAAATGTTGATTCAAATCATTCGTATTTTCTATCATCAAGGAGCTTTCATGTTCTTGATGTGGAATTTATGAAAAGTCTAAAAAACTTGAATTTTCGCTTATGAATATATTTAATTTTAAGGCTACAAATGGCTCTCCATAATGTTTAAGTCTAACTTTGTGAAACATTCACAGGGGTCAAAATGTATTTCAAACACCGGATAACCGGTGAATACATTTCTCAATAGATTTTATCTGTAATTATTTCTTTTGATATTTCACTTTTATGAAAAAGAAAAATAAAACGCAAAAGAAATGCAAACACTCCTCCCCTTTTTGTTTTAAAGCCATTAACAAAAATCATTCCAACATGCTTCCCTGAGCAGTTTAATCTGATTTGCATAGTAAATGTTTCCAAGTCAACACTTTTCACTATGCATACAAAGTGAAAGTATATGATATGTTAGACAGGTTTATAGTTATAATTATCCGGTATTGTATTGTATTGTATTGTATTGGTTTATTGAGATAAAAATCATTGGACATGCAGCTAAAAGCTGAAATTGTTCAATTTACAGAGTAAAAAGTACATGGCATAACATTACATTGATAACACATTAAAATATATAGAACACTTAACAAATATTGCGTATATTTAAATACGATTTACAGTTTCATTGATGATATAACATTGTCATTCGTTTTACATGAGATAGAAAGTTGATAATTAACAATTTACAGGTTTATTGCAACAGTGATACGTAGGTGGGATAATATTTAGATGTTTATACAGATAAAATACGATAAAAGATAAGATATTAAAGCTAAGTTTCAATATTGGTTAAACAAGGTGATGTTCCTGAATTAAGCGAAATTGGCAAATTAATATTACATCAGAGAGTATAAAGTGAAGAAACCTTGAATGAATTAAATATAGTGATGATAAAGATGTAATGTTGACATCGACAAAGATAAATATACAAGGTAATGGTCCTGAATTCAGCGAAATTGGCAAATTAATATTACATCAGAGAGTATAAAGTGAAGAAACCTTGAACGAATTAAATATAGTAATGATAAAGATGTAATGTTGACATCGACAAAGATAAATATTAACAAGTAAATAGGCTACTTCACATTGATTGAAAAATTCTCAAGTTCTGTTATTAATTGATATTGCACAAGGAAGAAGAGATACGAAAGTAGCATGGTATGTGGGATAGTACTATTACACTGAGCTTCTCTAGTTTACTATCAGTAGAGTGCACCACCAGATCACCAATTTAATTCAGTCTCTCAGATGAAATCATAGAAATCATGTATTCTGATGATGATGATGTTAACGACGATCTGTTTTCATTCTGTTATCCTGGTGTCTGTTCTTCTTCGGTCTCAGGTCAAAGCCCACATCGATAAAGATTGTCCAAAATCGAAGATTCCCTGTCCATTTAGTGAATTCGGATGTACTTACAAGGTGAGTCAAATATTTCTTATGGTAACCCTCATTTCTTATGGTATGAAGCATTAACACTGTCTCTTATTATTAGTGATAGTAAATGTATTTGAAACAGTTTCAAGGACGTTATTGTAGCATTCTCGATAAAGATTCCCTTCCAATGGGCGTCCAGATTTCTCATTTATATTGTCTCTTATTATTACTAATACAGTCGAACCTGCTCTGGTGACCACCTGTCTACAAAGACTACCTGCCTATAAAAAACACTTTTCTTGTCTCCCTTGGGTGGTCTTTATAGAAAGATTTCACACGTTAGTCCTGTAGAAGTACAAGTTTTTTTTGTTGATTTGTGTTCTAGATGGGTATTGAAATAAATTCAGCTGGTTGCCAGCTTGGCAACTTTGGGCAAATTTTTAATAGCCATATTAGCATAATTATCGAATAAGTACATGTATATGTAATAATGTTGCTAATCTCAATCCAGGAAGCCTGAAAACATGGATAATACGATTTTTTAAAGGTTTTCTATGACGAGGAATTCATTTATGACACCAGTTTTTTTATTCCAAGTAACGCAGTTGTCTTAAATAGCATAATTAGCATAATTATGTACAATGTATGGACTTCATTGTCATTGTTTATCTATAACGCCAAAAAATGGTGCAATGCAACATTGTAAATCACTTTTGACAGACTAATCATTAATTCACGAGAAGATATTCCATGTATATGTAGCATAATTAGCCTAATAAGCATAATAATCTAATTAGCATATATGTGCAATATGTATAATGTTGCTAATCTTAATCCAGGAAGCCTGAAAACATGGCAACCAAGCTGAGTTTACTTCAATACCCATCTAGAACAAAAATCAACAAAAAAATCTTGTACTTATCAACTTTTCGAGGTCATGTACATGGTATATGGTACCGTCTACTGGACTACGTAGTTCATGTATTTGAAACAGTTCCACGGACGTTGATGTAGCATACCTGATGAAGATTCCCTTCCAAGGGGTGTCCACATTTCTAACTTGTAACGCTCGAATAGCAATATCATCAGCAGAGTGTTTATGTACTGTGTGTTAGGGAAGCTTCCTATCGAAATTGGCGTTTTGCGTGTTTAGGGGTATACCAAAATCACGGAAACTGTTTTGGAAATCATAATTTATTTTGTATTGTCCTCTCGAAAGAGATTAGTTTTAACATTTTCTACGTTTATGTGTACTCATCTTTTAAATGTCTTTCATTCAAAAATCACATGAGAGATATCACTCATTCATTCATTGATTTGAAAATTGAGAAATGATTTGGCATTATCAATTATTTCCTTACATTACTGCAAATACATTTACATGAATGTTTTTGTATAACCTAACATCATTTTATTATGTCGCATTTGCAATTAATTTTACAGAATTATGTTCATTTTAATAAATGCTAACAGTCATTGTAAATTATATTGGGTTTTTGGTAAGAATTGTTCGAGACCCGAACTCATGAAACCCTAAAGAGTACAACCCTATATCCAAAAGACAAAGTAAAACTGAATATCAATTGTTTTATTGTTTATGTATTTTTGACTGACAGTGCGAGAGACAGAGGATGCAGAAGCATATCACCGATGATCCAACTGAACATCTTACGTTCGTTGGAAATATAATGCTCAAGAACAAAGCACAACTACAAACACATGACGACCTTCTTATGCAACATAAAGTAAGATTTTCTTTTTGTTGGTTCATTTTACCCTTGTCTTGTAATTGATGTATACCAACTGTCAGGCTCTTAATATGTCATTATGTAAAGTCAACACACTAAACATACCATTCTTGTAGCTATATCTTAAAAAAAAAAAAAAAAAAAAAAATGGTGGATATCAGACAAATTCATCCGAATGATAATGCAAATGGTTTATCTTACATCAAATTCAAATATTACTCATTACTGTTCTACTTAGTTACTCCATCAGTGTTTTGATAACAGAAGAGATATTGGTGACAAGGTACACTATATTCATATCCTTCATAATTTACGTGTATCGCCATTCTCCTTGAGAATTGGTGCACGGTTAATTATTTTTGATCGATTAGCTGGCACTCTGACTGGTATAGCATCAACATCATACACTCAGCGTGTATGGTTTTGTGTTTATCTACAATGCAATTTCATGACAACGCGTACGCTGTAAGGGATAGGTGGATGCTACGAGAATTAAAAAAGGAGACATCGATGTTCTGGGGAGAAATAGTGACCTACATGCTCGCATATCATAAGAAAACAGTATCGATGCAGTAAATGATAATTAATGATTTTCTGCCAAGATACAAAAGGAAAAGCTTCATACGTCGATGGCTGTATATCTTAATAATTTATAACAGTACTCTGTGTCATACATTGTTATTCCTTTTAAAAAAGAAGTGAAATAGGAGACATTGATGTGTTTGGGAAAAATAGTGAGCTAGATGCTTGCATATTATAAGAAAAAAAGCATCCATTGGTATTTGCGCTTTCAATGCTGTTTGACAATCAATAGTTTTCTGCCAAGACTCAATAGTAAAAGCTTCATGTATTGTTTAATGATTTATGACAGTACTCTGTGTCAGGATGTTATACATGTATATTGGTATACCTTTAAAAATGTATATAAGCGGTTGAAATATATATGACATACATCATCATGCCACCTACGATTGGCATGGAACAATTATAATGTTGTGGTATGAATTATTAATCCAATGTAACACATGAATCGCCAGTAGTTTATCATATCCACCCTAGTATAAGAGAAAGATGGTTTACAATTTGATGATTCACAACTCATAATATTTTACCCAGATTATAATAGAATTGTTCTACATCTACCATAGATAGTTTATAACATGAACAGGCTTAGACCTACAACATCGTGTAATAAAGTAAAGTTTTCGGCGCACGGTGCATTTCAATAAATCCTACCAGGTACTCATTTACCTCACCTGGGTCGAGTGTGGCAAATTTAGATAAATGTCTTGCAAAAGGACATTGATGCCGCGGCGGGACTCGAACCGCGGACCCTGTGATTCAAAGTCCGGTGACATATCCACATAAACACGACACCTCTATATTGCTGTATAACATTATACTAAAGCGCTATTTTTTGCCAATGTTCGGAGAAAGTTAATCAAACATTACCTGATTAGTGTTTACGCATTAATTCTTTACTACTACGACTTCTACTACTACTACTACTACTACTACTACTACTACTTCTACTACCATTCCCCCCATAAAAATGACAAAGTAGCTGCTAATACTTATTTGTCGAAAGCTAAAACTATTATTCCTTGCACTGTTTCAGGACTCTCTGGGAGTATGCATGCAGAAGGTTCGCGACCTTGAGAAGCTCTATGGCTCTCAGCTCGTCTGGAAGATAGACAAGTATGCAGAGAGGATGCAGGAAGCCAAGCAGGGCAAGAAGGTCACCATCTTCAGTCCACCATTCTTAACCAGTAGACATGGGTATAGGCTCTCGGTATCCTGCTGTCTCAATGGTGATGGAAAAGGTGTGTATGAATCTAGGTTTACCCACTCTCCGTATGTCTGTTCATCTCTACCTAACGGTCTCTGTATCTCTGTCTCAGCCTTTCTCTTTGTACCTTCCTTTCTCTCTCTCTCTCTCTCTTTCTCCCTCCATATGTTTTGATGATCTCTCCACCACCTGTCTGTCTCTGCTCTTAATTTCTTTCATTTCTTTTTCGTTCACGCTCTTTCCTTGTCTTTATGTGACACTTTCCTTCCCTCTCTCAATCTAGTTTTTGACATTATCACCTCCCTAGAGTTGACAGAAAGTGGAAGATGAAGAAGAAGAAGAAGACGAAAGAGTAGATTAAAAATAATAATTTCGAAAAGAAAAAGATAAGAGAATGATAGTAACAAGAAGAAGAAGAAGAAGAAGAAGAAGAATAGAGAGAGAGAGAGAGAGATCACAAAGACTCACTGCTCTCTTTGGTACAGTATTGTTGCCAATGTTCACAGTTAGGAATTGAAGCCGTATGTCTTCGAGCCGCATTTCTACAGGCACTTGAGCCAAGTGGCTGTTGTATCGTTCAGATAAAATCATATAACATCCATCATATCAATTAATCTCCTTTCATGTTCTTCCTCTCCTTTTTAGCCAAGAGTCATTTCATGTCTATCTTCGTGTGCATCAACCGCGGCGAGTACGACGCCCTCCTACCCTGGCCGTTCTCCCATCGGATCACCTTCACGCTCATCGACCAGTGCCAGGACCCGACGGCCCGAAGGAACATCTCCTACAACATCAAACCCAACCCCTGCAAGGAGAACAAAGCTTTCCTGGGACGCCCTCTGGGAGAGCGCAACGCCAGCTTCGGCACCCAGAAGTTCGTACCCCTCAACATGATCAAGACCCTGGATTACATCCGTGATGATACCATGTTCATCAAGGTTCAGGTCGACTATGACAACATGATTCTACTCTGAGATTCTGAAGTTTCGAATAATTTCCTTTAGAAGAGCTTAAGGCCTGCTTCGGCACCCACATGTTCGTACCCCTCAATATCATCAAGACCCTTCATAACATTCGTGATGGTACCATGTTTATCACAGTTCAGGTCGACTAAGACAACACGATTCTCCTCTGAAACTCTGTAGTTTCTGAAGTTTCCAATAATGTCCTCTAGGCCTGAGGTAATGTCTTCTAGGTCCCTGTATCGGGTGTTTTCGTGAATCTACCGCGAAGAGCAAAGACGATTGCAAAAACTTTGCAGATATCGACTGCATGTCCCATTCTGATTTTGGCGTCTGGATATTAAGCATTCAGAGATATATCGCTTATGTTTTTATGAATGACATCAATGCAATGTTCACACATTTCAATAGGTGATGGATAAGGAGACTGAATTACTTCCGGTTGATTTTTTCGAAAGTTCTCGTCAATCTACCAAGCTTCATTTAAATCCAATTCACTGACTGATAGTAGACTTCTAAATATTTCAAACTGTATAGAAACGATGACACTCGCGATACACTACATCGGAGTTTCGGGCCGTATGGCCACTGAACATCATATAAATAAAGTTGGATAAAGTTACGGAAAAATTCCGATCCATGGACACGGGCTAGCTCTCCAATTCTGAGCATCAATACCTATTGAATTGATCCCGAAAACGTTAACTTGATTAATAACTTGATATAACTTTGCACGTTGTGCTAAACTGCAGTTTGTGATTCTCTTCATGTAAATGATGTCATTAGCAGCGGTGGGGGGGGGGGGGGGGGGGGGTCGGTATAAAATGAAATACCAAAAAGGGCCGCCAATTGGGGTAAAGGTGTGGAAGGGGGTTCAATCACCTTATTTATATGTTGTCTTTTCTCTTTTCCACTTTCCCCCTCGTACCCTCCTTTTCTACCCTTGACGGGACACCTGTATCTTTGCCCATGTATTTAATACTTCTTTCACAGCAATGTTTGTGATGAGTTTTATTCAAATGGAATAATTTACATTCGTCCTGATATTATTTCAAGCCCTGTCATCGTTTAATGTTCAGATTGGACAAGCTTTAATGGTAACTAATAAAGCGAAACAAATGCATATGTACATTGTATGCAATCACTTTGTTAAAATACTTTGTCTTTCAACAATTCAGGCTTTTCATAGTATATATGTAAAGTAATGCATGTATATTGCAGCAACATCTAGATGAAGTGAAATTTTATTCGTCAAAACACTACTTCTCTATGCAAGAAAGTACATACATGTATATGGTCAAATGAAGTGTTTCGCCATAATGATATTGAAAAGCCTCATGGACTTATACTAGAAGGCGGTTTTGTATTTAATTCTATATTATTGAATATAACAATAATTAATTTTAAATAATGTACATGTAAATGTCTGTATGTGTAAAAATGCACGACATCATCATTTCAAATATATTGGATATGCTCTTGTAATGGCAAGGACGTATAAAGGTGGTCGCATGTTAATGCACGGGGAAAAATACACGAAATTGATAACGTCGAGATGACACTGAATCGTAACCATGGTAACTTCATTCATTTTAATTTTCCAATAACACATTATTAAAACGGATTTGTCCATCACATAAAGTATAAAGGTTAATGAACATGGGTTTCAACAGCCACGTAATAAATGATTAAACAATCTATATACCAATGTTATAAAATGATTTATTCTTGTAAATATTTTGGATGATTTTGATTTATATGTAGAGTGTGCCAAGAAAATGTAAAATGTTTTATATCATAATTTTTGTATACGCTTAATCATAAGGCAAGATATTCTGATATGATTAAAAAGATAATTTGATATTGCAGGACTAATTCGTTACAGCAGGTATAAATCATTGACATTCCTCAAACTTAAAAACTAAATTAATCACAAGCAATACTGTATATAACAGATTTGATAACATTTAAGCATGCAGAGAAATATATTACCTACATTCTTTAATAACCAAATAAGACATTTATCCCATTCTTAACATATGCTTATGTCACAAAGCTTTCTCATATCCGCACATAGATAAAAAACTATGGTGAATATCTAAATGTTATACGTAGTAATCACATTTTGTGTAATCGTAAAACGACTTTTATGTTTGAAAAAGAAGCGAAACAGACTATTTTCTACTCTTAGCAAAATCACTATGCAGGTCAAACTTCTTATTTCTACGTTTCATATTAATAAAATATGAATGTGGTCCGACTTGACAAGACAATAAGCTAATAAAAATATTCCCTTATCATTTTTCACATAATAGTCGCATGTGTTCATGGTGTTATCTGAGTATTGTTTCAGCCAGCTTGTATGTAGCATGTAACATTCTTGTACAAACAATTGCATCCATACTATATATATAATAAAAATAGATAGCTATCATATTTGATGTGTATTTTACTGTAATAAAACGATACAGATGTATGAATTATTTGTGCTGTTCGACTTCCTGATTTGCTATATTGTTCGTAATCTGATAATTTTGAATAAATTAGATCAGGTAATTTTTTAAAATATTGATTAATGTGTAATTTAATTGATGCTAGTACATCGATGAAACTCTGAGTTGAATTGCATACAGCTCAATAAACTGGTGTATCTTTATAAACGAACTGCAATATATTGATGTCGTCGTTAATAGACAATCGTTCAAAGGACACACTTATCGTGTTGATTTTCGATTAAAGCGATAGTGGAGTTCTGTTTTCAGACCGCAAATGCATTCAGAGTGCATGGTTATTGCTTTTATTCTTATATATGACATTTATAGTGCCCTTTTGGAACCTAAAATTGTTATAAAGGTAATTTTAGACCCCAAAATGTGTGAAATTTAGCCAATACGATCATACCAATTCAGCTCCACTTTCCAAAAAACACGGTGACCATTAATTAATTATTTAATTAAAAATAACAATACATGAGCCGGCTAATTGTGGGTAATATAAGCGACACGAAAATGTCAACAAAAAAGCCAACATCGGCATTGGCTGAAATACGACGTAAAAGGCGTTATTTCGTTTTTTCAACAGTTTTTTCAAATTTTTCAAAATATCTAATATTTGTGGTGGTACACAAGTATTAGAAATCGTTATATTTCAGCCGTCTCTGAACCGATTTTGATCAAACAAAGATGATTTTGTCATTTAAATATTATGTTCTTTCATATTTGACACTCAGTTTTTCATTATCTCACAAAAAAATTATTTTTTGTAGCGCCCTCTGCAACAGAACTCAACTATCCCTTTAAATTGTTCTTAAGGATGTTGTAATTATTATTATCTTCATGGTAGAACAAAACACATTGCAGAGTACTAAACACGGGCAATGCACATATTGAAACTTTGGGACATTTACACTGTCCGAAATATTTTATTCTCAATTTGAATATCATAAAACAAAACAATCAAAATTTATTATTTCGAATTCTCCACGAAGCATACTCAGCTTAGAAGCCCCCCCCCCCAGGGCCTATCACGGGTTCATCTAATGAGGGTCCACTGGAATGGAAGTGGGGGGGGGGGGTACCAGTTATTTACAATACCTTCGATTTAGGGTGTGTGGGAGGGTTTTATCATTTTCTTCTTTTCATGCCTCCCATCCCCTTTAAATTTCTAGCTTTCTCATGTTCTATATTAATGTGGGGCGATTCTATTGGGACATGTGCCTATGCCGCCCCCGTGACTGCGCAACTGCTGTGGACATACTATACATTTAGTTCTCCTTAATATCATCTTATTAGAGAAATTACTCATGGGCAGTTTATTTTATACATGAACCATTCTCGTGGACAGTTTATTTAATTACTGCTCTATTGCCACGTCAATGGGCACACTTTGTAAACTTTTTTTTTCCTGATTGGGAGGGGGTTGGGGGAGGGGGGGGGGGAGGGTTAAAGTAGAGGGTAAACCTTCACACATGTGGAATGTATTTATACATAGCGCATACCGTACATGCACTGTATTACACAACCGAACACTCTACATTGGTATTTAAGTCATGATCATATTCAAAATGACAAACACTTCCCCTTCATGGTGTCTCCTCCACTATGGCTGACGATGGTGTTCATCCGTCTTGAAGCCTGACCGCTGTAGTCTCTAGTTGATGATGTGGCAACAAGACTGCTCTTTCTGTGCCTTTCAGTTGGTCCTTGCCGGGAACGTTTTTGAGTACAATACAAAATGGCGCATACACTGCAGCCAAGATGGCCATGGTTCGCATTGTCCTGTAAAATGATAATAAGGTATGAGTATAAAAATAATACACAGCAGTGAGGGCACTAGTAATAGTTACCCACACGAGGTACATTTGGAAGAGTCTAACACGCCCGAGGCGATAGCCGAGGGTGTTTTGACTGTTTTGAAGGTACTGAGTGTGGGTAATATTACTAATGCCCCAACAAAATGATGTGTATTATTTGTTGTATAAGATTTTGTTTTATTTGTTTTATTAAATGATGTTTTATAACATGATTTTGATAAAGACCGGTCATTACCGTTTGGTAATTACCTAATAATTTGATTAGGATCCACGTCATCATCTTATAAAAAATAATTACACTACAAACAAAACGCATTCAAATTTGCCTAGGACAAAGTGAATAACTTTTCGTCATTACACGTTTGTTTCATTTGAAGTTCAGACCGATAAAATATCATAGCTATGATATAAAGTAAAAATAATCATAATGAGATAATTCGATCAATAATAAACTTACCATGGGAATCCGATAGAGTTCACTAAAAGTCCACTGATAGTTGGTCCTGGAAATATTAAAACAAGATATGACTTAGACAACAAAACAGACCCATGATTATTCTCAAATATAAAACAACACCAAACTAAAGTTAACAAAATCGACAACACCACCCCCACCACCACCAATTTTTCGGCCCTAAATAAGCTGCCGAAGGACACAATCCTTTTGTTTACTCCATGTGTACTTAATATAAATTCAAATTTAAATTTAAACGTTACTGATTTCAATCCAAACGGATCATTCTCAATTATTGTACATTAGATATTACGTTATGGTGTAACATAGATAATTGAGTGTAAGAGTAAAGATAATAACCAGGATTGACAAAAATTAACATGCTACTGCATGTCTCACCTGAAATAAAACACAGGGAATAGAATATAATATATGCCAGAATTAGTTTTACCTAAGGGTGGGGGGGGGGGGGCACGTGCCTCATTTAATATCCGTAGATCCGCCACCGGCCTCAGTAGTGAGTAGGGAATGACTTACCTATTGCAAACCCAACACAGAACGCGAAGGTAGAAATAGCCGCCGCTGCACCGTATGCCCCATTGTATTTTATATCAGCTACAAGATTCATGGATGCCGTCATAGTACTGTCAACCACACCTATCATTAACAAAAACAACAACAAACAAACAAAATAAGAATAAACACTTTTGACGGATGATAACAAAGATAACATGACTAAATGATTTTAAAAAAAGTCGTAAGCTTCCTTTAATGCCAATATACCTTATTTCAATTTCGTATCATAAATTGCATGTGTTTTCATATTGAAATGATGATTATATTGATGATGATGATGATTATGATGATGATGATGATAATGATGATGATGATGGAGTTGAAGATGACGGTTATAAAAGTGATGTTAATGTGATGGTGATGATGGTGATTGTGGTGATGATGATGGTGATTGTGGTGATGATAATGGTGATGGTGATGATGATGATGGTGATTGTGGTGATTATGATGGTGATGGTGATGATGATGGTGGTGATTGTGGTGATGATGATGGTGATGATGATGGTGATGGAGTTGAAGATAACGGTTATAAAAGTCATGTAAATGTGATGGTGATGATGATGGTTGTGGTGGTAATGATGATAGTGATGATGATGATGGTGATGATGATGATGATGATGCTGGTACATTAAAATATATACTGTGGACATGATTGTCGTGTCCAAGTGATATGTTGGCCGAAATGGAAAGCCTTTGGAATTAAAAAACAAACCATTTCAATATTGAAATCTATGTCTTGTTATTAATGATCGTAATTACAATCATACTTTTCGAGAATCAATTGTCTAGTTGCTAATCAGTAACACATGTAGATTAGCAAATATTCGGGAGACTGAGCGTCTCGTTGGAAGTAGTCCTTTCGAAGATTACACCAAAAGAGATGATTTATTTTCTCAAAAGCAACGTAGTATGGTGGCGCTATTTAAAAATGAGACAAAACGGCATACATTCCATAGACATTGGAACCTTGATAACGAATATCTAGGTTGCTCAAGTTTTTAATATAACAACCCGTTAAAAGGAAACACAAATTGTCGTCTTCATATATGAGTGATCTTTCTATACAGGTGGGTGCTAAAGCAGGTTTGACTGTACAATCACTGGCAAAAAAGAGAAATATTGATGACGTATTTACCGAAAGAGAATCCGATGCCTAACATGGCTGGGATGAGCTGAACTACTTGTTTTACCAAAGGTACCTGATGGACAGTTAAATTAAATAAAATGATTTGAGAAATACACTTCAAACCTACACCTTCAAGAAAACATGCCTTTTATATTGCTTCTCATGCTGACTTAATTCTTGTAAAACAGTTAGTTTTACACGATTCTATAACACTTTATACGCTTCTTTTATACTCAAGGTTAAGCTTATTTAAATTGTCTCTCCAAAACCAAAACATAACAAAAAGTAATAAACTATTTTGCTTGTTCATCTCTTTCATCTTCTCTCCCTTTTCCTTCAGTTTTTCGTCTCCTCTTTTTTCCCCCTTTTCAATATTTTCCTCCTCCCCCTCTTCTCCTTTCCATTTTCTACGTAACAAGCTTTTAGTTAGATGCTGCGAGTAAGTATCGGCTTGCATGGTGATGTAGATATACAGTATGCTTGCTCTCTCTCACATGGTGCACCCGCAAGCCTACTGTATAAGCTTTTAGTGTTTCCTTTCCTTCTTCGTCACCCCACCTGTTTACTTCATGGCATTTGTATCTATTTCCCCTTTTCTCAAAGTTAGCCCACTATCCCTATTTCAACGTCTTTCCAATACGTATACTGATTCATAAGAAAAATAGATCCGCATTTGTAGCCTCCTCCCAAAGTACAAATATCCTCATGAGAATTCGAGGTATTAAAAGAACACTATTTATTGAAACTACGATCTTACCGTTGCTATGCTGGTTGCTAGGAGAAGCAGAGATAACATCGCACATAACCATCTGGATTGGGGGAAAATACAAACAGTGTCACTGCGGAATTGCTATAAATGCATGTTGATGCACTTTCAAAGTAATGAGAGACGACTTGACCAAGCACTTTTGATCAAAAAGGAGAATCCAAGTCTGAACTTAAAAGTAGTCCCGCCAAACATAAAAAACTCTAGAAAAAGATGCCATGGCATTTGGGGGTAATGTATGGCATCCATGCTAAAACTCTCCCAGAAATTCCAAGGAATCACATACGGATGGATGCATCGCGCATGTTTTGTCATTTTTTGGCTCAAAATATGAAAGAATGTAACAAAATCATGATTTTTAATTTGTTGACTGAACGTGTATTATGTTACAAAGATATTTCAATGGATATAATTTGAAATAATATTAATGATGAGTTTGAAGTAATAAACCCCTTAAATATACATTTGAATGTTGGATATTACACATAATGTATGGCGCAATGAAACATCAGAGTACGGCGTTATACAAACTAATTATATTTCAAAGGTTTACACACCATAAATTTGTCCACTGAAAAACTTTCTCCTGACGGCACATATATCATAAGTTGTTATCCCTCACACAGAAACGAAATGATCACATAATGTGATGGATAAGTAATTTTTTTGTTATCCCAAATGAACTGACGTCTCTTTTAAAGGTACTATGTCCCTTTTGCAGCCAACCTCAAATTCTGTAAAACTTTGCAGGAATTATGAATATGTCATGTACGTCCTGTCTGTGAAATTTAAACGTTAGCAGTGTCCTCATATTCAAATTATGCAAGGAAATCCGTTTACTTGGTAGACTTCACTGTCAGACACTCTTGAGCGACTGACTGGCTTTTTTTCTTCTTTGGTAATAACATACATGAAAAGAGTTGTAAAGGGTACATGAGCATTCGTCTACATCAATAACCCACTTCTTGTAATGGCCAAGATTAAACTGATTGAATCTTTGCGCAGCATAAAACGTATGACCATTCGGTACAATTGTCTGAAAATCAAGACTATTACTTTTGGGCCCTAAAGTCGATTTGACAACTAACAGTCATTTTTTTCCCACTTGAAGACATTTTCAAGCCCCACCTTTTTTTAGAGAAGTTCTGAATTAGTATTATCTTTCAAATGCAGTTGGAATTTAACTTTTTCATTTTTTTGGCCTGCAAATGGGACATAGTACCTTTAATACAAAATGTGCATTTGGAATTGAAACACATTGTACTTACTATATGTGGCAATTCCCACCTATAGGTAACGGATCAAGTACACTATAGTTTTAGAAAATGTTTTAGAACAATTTGAATACAACAGCCAATGAACAAAAACCTGCAGCTAATACAAAACAAATGTTGAATAAAAGTCTGCACAATGTTAAATGATGACTTTCTGTTTTCTATGAGCCTCTGGTATCATAACCTGTCTGTTTGCCATAAAGTAGGTGATATGGGCGTGACTTCTGCTTCGTAAACATGACAAAAATCAAGAAAAATTGGAATTTTAGAAAATACTATAATGGTAACTAACAAATGGTAAGCATCTTGAGCTGCCCGTTTGACTATAATTAGAATGTTGTTTTTTTTTTTAAATTCCAGACAGTAGGTCTAACAAGTTTTTTAAAAAACGGTAACAAGGATGATTATACAGTAGGCTTGCGGGTGCATCATGTGAGAGAAGGATGATTAAGTAAATACTTTTTAAAGCTACTGTTTCCCAGGCTTGAAATTGGTTGATTTGTTGAAGTTCACGATTTAACACAATGATGAGGATAATGAGAAATGTTCAAAATGAATATTTGTATCATTTGTGTACACAATGATTATGCAATAATGTTTTGTGTTCACATTCTAGCCTCAACAGTGTTAATTAAACTATTCTCTTATTGAGAGCCCTGTAGTCCTATTATTACACCAATATTTAGTGTCTTCATATTTCGTTAAATATGTAGACAATCATGACAAAAGACAATTATGTCAAAGATTGCATCTGACTCGAGCTTTGCTTGGTTATTTGGTACTGGAGGAGTAACACGAAGAAAAAAAATGTTCACATGATCGCATTATTTCTTACTCACTCTATGTTTAATATTTTCTGGCTGTTTTCAAGACAATATCGTTTTTGTCGATCATAGTTTTATCTAGCTTTATGTGCCATGGTAATTTTGAGGGAAAAGCAATCTTAGCCATGGTTGTTCGTGAATTCTAGACATAGAAAGAGTCTACTTCTTATAAAAGTTGATACACTATGACATTTCTAGTACATGTATGTGTATCTGCAGCTTCATTAGAATACAAATCATTACAAAAACATTAAGCTGTTACCATGGCAACATCCATTCTCAAGTGTGACCATGACTCTGGGATAACCCTAGTGTTAAGGCAATCGTACACGTACCTAAATTGATACAGATATATTTCTTTAAACTTACATTATGCTTATTTATGTATTTTATTCTAAAGTATGCTATTTTTTGAAAATAAATTTTCGTTGCCATGGTAAGGTTTTCTGGCAATTTCACCAAAACCAATTAACTGGCAAACAGGCAGATAAGGAAAGCCAGTCATCTGGGTTGTACATACAAACAAAGAAATAAACAAACAAGCGAACAGAAAACGAGAATAGATTACGATTCGTCTGAAGGGAAAGGATACATTTGCGATAATATTTAGCCCCCGCACATCATTATTAAGACTTTAAGCCAAGCTTAAACCTACTTTGATGTCTGCATTATCGTGTTGTCATAGCAACCTTTCGGTCAGAAATGATGATTACCTTAAAAACATAAAATCCTGATAGAAAGTAATTATTATAGAGATATCGACTGCTACGAGAGGACTGGCTGTTTTTATACGCCTGGGTGGGTGGCGCGCCAAAGGGTAGCAGCGGATGAAAATTTCCCTTGAGCGTATAAAAACAGCCAGTCCTCGAGTATTAAAGCAGTCGATATCCCTTTTATATGCCGAATTCAAACAAAAATCTACCAAGAATTCTTACCTTATCCTTTTATCGAGTTAAGATTGGTTAAAACATCACGGAAAATCTGAGAAAATGTCGGTTTATCACCGACAAAAATGACTGAAATTTCCGATCAGTTGGGAATCGCAGACAAAAAGCACTGTAACCAATTGGTATCGCAGCAAGATTTTATTATTTTCCCGGTAACTGGAATTTTGACGGGATTTAAATGGTTTGGGCATTTTCGTTTCTTTACGGGAATGGCTAAAATCACGACTGCAATTTCCTCCAATCAGAAGGCTGGATTTCTTGAGTGAGGTATATAACATCTTTTACTTTTTTGCACTGATACTGATAGATTTGTTTCATGTTTTGTTTTTATTTTAGATTAAAAAATAATTTAGTTATAATATAATGTTCTCAAAATATTATACCACATGCTATCATGTCGTTACATAGCACAAATATCAATTCGAATGACCAGGATTATGATGTTAATAAAACTTTTAACATGAAATGAATATACTTAGACAGTTTATATATGTTTTTACAGATAGTCATGAGAAATATATGTTATTTTCTGAAATTTTCTGTTACAATGGCTACCGATAGATTTGAGCATAACTATGACCTGGGAAGACTGAGATTTTTATTTAAATGAATCGGGAAGATTAAAATAGGTTTACTTAGCCACTAACAGACCATTTTTTCTTTGTTTGATGAGAAATGAATATGCTTTTAAAGCAAACAATTCGTTACCATGGTAATGGCTGAAGAAGTCATTAATAAAAGTGGCAACATGTAGATTCGTGTACTTTAAAAGAAAATTGGTGGAAAAATACAAATAATGTCAACGCGCCATGAGCGTCGCTATATGATATATCATTATCATTATCTTTTATCTGAGTGGCCTAGATCCAAATGATTAGTAAGCTCGCTAACGACGCGACTACCTCGACTGATTAAATCTAAGAACTAGTCTAGGGCTAGGAGTAAGTAGTAAAATTTAACGCCAAAAAAACTACCAACAACAACATATTTTATCAAAACATTATCGAAACCAATTTTGTTTGGCTGTACTTACCGTCCTATCCTGTTACCATAAAATCCCAATAGTACACTAGAGATGATCTGCATAATACTCGAAGGCAAGAAAATAACCCCTACAACGATAAAGCAAGAACAAAAATGAAGTTTTTTATATATTTTATTTACTCATTTATCCTTGCAGTAGGATATTAAAGGAGAAATTCGCAGGCCTCCTAGCACATGCTCTACTTAAACAAAATATCGCCACCCTTTTTATCAATACAATTAGCCATAAATGTTTAAGGCTTTAAATTGACATTAAATTTAAAAAAAAAAAAACGGCTTTCTAAAAAACTTTCCTATCGCACTTTGTATTAATGTATCATGTATGTATTTCATCTTTCATCACCAGCTGCGCCTTGAGCATTTGACTGTCAAGTGGATTTGGCGCCTTATAAATCTCATGTATTATTATCAATCAATATATTGTACGAATTAATGTTAACTCTAGATAGGATTGTCAATGCTCCTACCAAACATAATTCTTTTTAATTTGTAGTCTTCATGACCAAGATATATACCATGTCTATCCGTGTGGTATGATATATAGTTTCCCCTAATCATTCCATTATACGATTGAAGATTGAAAATGAATGAATAATTTTGTTTATGTAAACGGCCCTTACCTAATTGCCAATCCTTGGCGTCTGTAGTCTGGAGTAGCCATAAGGGTAGCGATGATTGGAGGAGAGCTATCACAGCACCGGCTACAGCTATAGCACCTGTTCACATGGAGAATAACAATACATTTTCTATCAATTACATTGTACCATCACTAATATGCTAATATTAATTATTGATGCAAATAAGAAAACATGAAATAAAAGGCCATCTTGAATATCTTTAAAACGTATTGGAAAGTAGGAATGCAAAATTATTAGTGTGAATATGTTGTAAGGGAGAAGTTCTTCTTTTCTAAAATGTCATCTCGCTGTAAAACACAATTATGTTGATTCTGCGCCATGTCAGGGGTAAACAAAATGTGTTTCAGACAGTTAGAACTAAAGAGTACTTGATAAAAAAAATTAAGTAAAATGAAAGAAAACCGTTTCATTCATCTTGGGATTTATTACAAAAAGGGAGACTATACCTGCTGAAGCCAAGACGAGAGGATCCTTGACAAGTACGTAGACGGGGGCAGGGTCCGGGCTGTCGTTACGGGCTTCGGGTGAGATGCAGAGAACTTCTGCAACTGTTTAATTGAAATAATATGAAATTAATAGCACACATAAACTGGTGGATAGGATAATGACTGTCATGAACAGCATCGTCAACGAGCGAATTGCCGGTGTACTGAGCACAACATCATAATAACATCATAAGAACATCATAAGAAAATCATTACAACATCATAACAACATCATCATCATTATCACCATCACCATCAATATCACCACCGCCTTCATAATCGTCTTCGTTTTTTCTTGCCCACACCCCACCTCTACCTCCTTTCATCTTCCTCCTCCCCCTCCTCCTTCACCTCCTCCCCCTCCGCTACCTCCTCTTCCTTCTTTTCTTCCTCTTCCTCCTCTTTAACCTACACCCCCTTTCCTCCTTCCCCTCTTCATCCTCTTCGTTCTCTTTCTCCCCCACCTCCTCCTACTCCTCCTCCTCCTCATCATCATCCGTCATCATGTATCATTGGTTTCAAAACATTCATATTATTATAGTCACGCAGAGCAAACTAACACTATGCACTGCTACCATCGTCAAACTCACAGGCCAGTAGCAATGCAATGGCAGCAAGTATGAGGAAAGGAGAAGCTTGACCGCAGAAAGAGTATAGAATAGACCCAAACGGAGGACCAGCTAAAAAGAAATAATGCAGAAAAAACTTTATGAAAATGATATCAATAATAATAATAATGCTAATGAAATTAAAAATAATGTTGATAATAATAATAATAATATTAACAATAAAAATAATGATGCTAATAAAAAAATAATTATAATGATAATATCAATATTTACATAGCGCTTCTAATATATAAATATACTCTTTTGCGCTGTGATGAAAAACAAAAACTATTAACAGTTCTACTCTACAGACACACTCCTAATAGAGATACCCCCTAAAAAAAAACGCTATTAACGGAGAGGGGGTGGCATGTTTGTGTTGTGTAATTATCTTTAGGGCTTACAGGGGTGCAGTTTGCTTAAACAGTATACAAGCTTTTGGAGGGTAGACTACAACATTAACAAAAAGACTGGTATCTACATTTACGAATAGATCCTACTGCACAAGAGACAAACAAAAAATGACTTGTTTTTACCTAACGAGCCAAACGCGAAAGCACTGATAGCCAGTCCAATGGCGAAGCCTCTCTTCTCTTCGTCATCAGCATAGCTGTATGCCACCACACCAAGACCTATATAGTCACAAAAGCAGTGTTAGGAACGTGACGCCATTTCTTCACACAAGATGATCGAAATTCCAAATTTTGTTTGATTCCACTTTCATTTCAGGGAGAAAAAAACCCCAAAATGAGCATTATGAAACGTTACATACAGTCCAGATTGGCAAAGATAAAAATGAAATACATTTCACACGATAATTGTACAATATTTAAAATAAAATCGAACTTTTTCCCCTTTTTCAATCATAAGGAGGGAGAGAGGGAGAGAGGGAGAGAGAGAGAGAGAGAGAGAGAGAGAGAGTGTGTGTGTGTGTGTGTGTTTGCGTTTCTCATGTTCTTCTTCAGCCCGCTTTCCCTTTGAGTTTACCTTACTAAATCTCCCCCCTTTCTCTCTCACTCTCTCTCTCTCTCTCTCTTTCTCTCCCTCTCTCCGTTTCTCAAGTAGTTATTCAACCCACTTTCCCGACTCGTTTACCTTGTCAACTCTTCCCTATTTTTCTTTTTGGCAACGTATTAATCTGTTTTAATCATGTAAGAGTATCTTGCATCATTTCCTTTTTTCTCACCTTCTCATATCACATATAGCAAGTTAGTCCACTCACCCCGTGTCCCCACACACAAAAATTCATCGTATAGCTATCCAGAGACGGTTTCGGGATAGCCATACGATAAAATTGTGTATGTGTGTACGCTTATCGTATGAAGAAACGTCGTATAACGAAACGCGGGTCTGGGCATCGTTTCGAACTAGAACTCGATAAAGAATCACGGAATGTTTTGTGTGTGGACGTATGGTCGAACTAGAACGGTGTAACTGGGAGGGGCTTAACGTGACCGCGCGTGAAAGGAGACATGACCTCTCATTTCTGTGTCCGTTTCATGACCGCAGTTTCGCTGTAGACTTTCGGATACTTGTTCTTGTGTGTGTGGACGCCCGGTTCGCTATACGATGATTCTTTATACGACGTTTATTGTGTGTGGACGCCCTGTTCGCTATATACGATGATTCTGTAAACGACGTTTCTTTATAGAGTTTCGGGATAATTATGTTTGTGTGTGGACACGCTGATAGTCTCCACTCCCAAGGACTAAACATCTTAGCCAGATGCAAGGCATCCCTATTACTATGTAACTTGTTTATGTCCTGACCACCATATTTTCAGTCAAACCTGCTTTAGTGATCACCTGTCTCCAAAGACCACATTTTTTTGTTTCCCGTGAATATGGTCTCTCGTTGAAACATGTACTAAAGGAACCTGTACAAAAAGACAACCTGCCTATAAAGGCCACCCTCTTGTCTCCCTTGGGTGGTCTGTATAGACAGGTTTCACCGAGTATGTATATATGTAGGGATGAAGAATACACCACTGGCAGACAGTCTGACTTACAAGCCCAGAAGTGATGTATCTTGCAGTTGAGTATATAGTATACATAAGCTACTTTGCCCACATCTACAGGCCTCGACCCATTTTTGTATTGCAGAGCACATTGTTATTTACCCTCAATATTTCTTTCATCAATATTTCTAAGAATTGCTTTCTGTAATTTTGTATTTCTGTACCGTGAAATTTATAAATAATTGTGTTATTTGTACAATATTTTATCATGGTTGGTGAATTGAAACTCTATACCATTATGCTATCTTATTCCAATGTGCACGTTTAGCTTGCGATCAATTTTACACCCAACTTCATTACAACCATTATATTGGCAAATGTTTATGGAAAAGCTCAATTTGCTCAAACATACGGTAATGGGTTGCTCTAGTCACTGAGTAGTCGGCTCTCATGGGGAATTCGACACCGTTCGGGTGTTTACCCAATAACAGGTGTTGTCAATCACCAGGGTTAGCCTTGAGTTTTATGACCATTGGACCTTATGTAATGCTTTGATTTGCCCGAAGACTCTCGAGCTCTCCGAGAGATTAGGGGGTAATTCTTGACTGGACTATGGGTTTGCTGTGTGCAAATTTGTACCCCCATTAATGGTATTTCCACCAAGTCTGGTGTCAGCGAATTATGGCCTTCTGCACATGGAAACTGGCGATCCACTCCCTTTAACTGCCGTTCAACTAGTACTGTTTTCACACTGGTAAAAATTAACCCCGTACTATGGTTAAGCTTATTCCACTTTCTTTTCACACTGGCAAAATGTTGCTTAACCCCGTACTATAGGTGGGGTTAAAGGGGGGGGGGGGGGTAGCCCTACCTACGGGGTTAAGCAAAACAAGTGTGAAAAGAGTTTCTGAGTCATGCATTGTTCTTTAACGTCAGGGAACAGCAGAAAAGATGGGTGCGAATCAGGTTCAGAAATGCAATCGTCTATCACTAAACGAGATGAATACGCCTTTGTCAAATCAAAATGTCAATTTGCAGAGCGCGGAAGATTCGACTTTTACGACGGCCATTAAAACTCCCAAGACAGCTCCAATTCAACTGGGTGTGAAATATGACAGCCTTGCCCTCCGAGATTGATTGTAATTGCATCGAAGAATTGCTCAGGACACGTGAAAGTTGCAATTTATGAGATACATGCCCCCGATTTGATGGCAGTATACATTTTCTTACAGCCACAGAACGAAGTATTTTCATATATTAATTTTTGATGTGGAGGCGTAAATTGGTATTTGACTTAATTTTGTTAGTATAATGACTCGCCTTTGGATATCACTCTCGTGAATAACGAATGTTACGAGCAGAATGCAAAAGACAAGAGGGAATTTAGGGAAAAGGCGGTAACTAGAAAGAATAGAAAAACCCGAAAAACGTATATATATAGTTATCTAGTAAAAATACAAGTATGTGCGCTGATTTCTTAAAAACACTGCAGGCACTCATAATTATGTCTCAAAGCTCATTCTTCTTAGAATATTTGTCTACTTCAACCACGTTGTATCGTAAACATTGGAATTCATACGAGGATAAATTAAAATGATAGTGATTGTGAATCTGAAGTCAAGCTTTCGATTCCAATTGAATAAACAAACGTGTTTATAGATACAAGGTAGGCGTCATAATTTGAACATAACACTAAGCTCATACTTTTTATGAATTGGTCAACACATATTCAAGAGAAATTGTGACATCGGGGAGTATTACCTTTTCACTAAAGAAGTTTTAATGAAAAGATATAATTTTATTTCAATGTTTACTACTCATATCATAATACGAATGGATTAAAAAAAATAATTGAGAAGATGAAATTGATACCTTCGTATTACAATGATGAATAATAAGTTAACCTATACAGTGTAGGATATAAATATATGTTATCACATATCATTTATGATTAAGATAGAAAGTAAGAATTTCTCGAAAGCACATCACATTCAGTCTCTTCTGGCGTACATCGAATTCTGGACGCAGATAGGATTGATGTTGAAATGTTTTTATTCTAAATATAAGAATCTGAGCCATTGCGTAATAATTTAAAATGAAACTAAACATATCAATTTGAAATTTTGAATCGGTTTTAAAAATCATTCAGCTTTAAGTACGCAGCGTTTACAATCGCTCAACGTCGTCGGAGAAAATTGAGGAGAGAGGAGGGGGGATCAACTTTGGAAGAAGTGGCAATTACTGTCAATTGCTTGGCCTATTGAAATTATATTTACCTTGTACATGGTTACAAAAGACACACTTACCAGCTATTTCAATTGCTGTAGCAGCTACGCCATGGAGCAGACGGGCTATCAGGAATACAACAAATGAATGACCGAACGCATACGCTGTAACAAAAATAAAGTAGGAACGTACATTGTACATGTTTTAGCAATGGATGATATTGAACGGCTACCTCGATAAGGGGGAGGAGGAGGATGAGGAGGAGAAGAAGAAGAAGAAGAAGAAGAAGAAGAAGAAGAAGAAGATGAAGAAGAATAGATACAGATGTATGTAAGATCCGTAGAGGATTTAAAATGTAGATACAATATAAGTACACTTAATAAGGATGATAATAATCACAAACAGAACAAGAAAATCAAGGAACAGAAGACAAAGTAGTGGCTAAATAATATTTGATGAGAAAGAAGTTTGAGAAGATGACGAGTAGAGTTACACCCGTTTAATTTTTCTGTGAACAGATGATACTGGTTTGATTGTTTGTTTGTATATGTATATATGTGTTTCCAATTGTACTTTATTTTCTGTCTTGATTTACAGTATTGCATGTTATTGCATATCAACACATTAGAGGACGAAAGTAGACAATTATCAAATTATCGATTTGGTATATTCACGTGTTTGCAATTTCATGAAGTTCAGAGTCTCAGCACTGTTCAAATATTCACTCAATAGGAAGTTATTTGCCTACACTATTTGTATTCTTGCTTTAGAGACAGGAATTTAAACACTCCTTCTTCAGCAAAATTTGCGTTTACTAATTCGAGAAAAATGCTCCGTCCTAAAGACAAACAAATACTGAGGCAAAATACTATAAAGAAAAGCCGAAGTAGTTTGCGGCAAGTAGTAAAATGTATGTTTGTAAATTGCTCTCTGTGAACAAGAACTGTACCTTCAACCTTTCAATTAAACCGTTATTTTGCAAATATATTTCCCACCTATTACCATTTCTGCAAATAAATGCATAGACATTTCCAAATATTGCTCTTCAATAATTTCTAATGTATCACGTGATCGATTGCAGATTTTTCTTGAGGTGATCATCAGCGATTTTTGCGACAGAATTATGCTTCCAAAAATGTGAGAACCTTTCTTCCTTTTTTTTTCTTTCTTTCTTTCAGTTTCTTTATATCTTTCTTTCTTTCTTCTTTCTTTATGCTTGTCAGATATTTCTGAAGAATTGTGCCCCACGGTGAAAAAAGAATAATATGTAAACTCGTCAGAAACTTTAATGGCAGTGAAAAGGTGTACTCATCTTGCGTTGCTAGGTGTAAATCGTCTTTCCAAAGTGCCCACATAATTAATAGCGACATTGTGTATAATATATTCGTTCTTATGAGGTAGGCAAACACTACAAGGTTTTGTTCAAAATTTCAACGCAAATATTGGTCTACTTTAAATATGGGCTCCTGTTCAAATACGAGAGCAGATATGTACGGATAAAGACTTGTTGCACTATAGTATGCTTTTAGAACGTGTATGACTATGGAGTTCTACATGCCACTGTTTACTTCTGGAACAATGCTAACATTCAACATAAAAAGGGTGCAATTCTGCTAGCACCCTCTGCTATTTATTACGCGTAGGTATTTTAGATATAGAGCGTGCTGATTATTGTAGCAGAATTGCACCCTAATTCCTTGGTGTGTTAAAAGTGTTAACCATTCGTCTATGCTCTATTATGTATTAATTACGATCCCGATAATTCAATTAAATTCAAAATTCAATTCAAAAGACTTTATTTCCGTTAACAAAAATATATATATACATGTGATAAAGTACAGACAGTTTAAAATATACAAATCATCATGATTTAAACAAACTGTGAAAATGAGTAAAAGGAAAAGGGAGCACCTGTAGGAAGCTTATGTTAGCGTGTTGATTCAGGCGTCCAAATGAATAAAATAATTACACAGTTATAATAACATAATAACGAGTTCTGCGCATGGATTTGTTCTACCCCTCCCTCCCTCCCCACCCCCTCCCCCACCACCACCTCCCCCTCCCCTTCTTTCTCTCTTATGGTAATTTAAAAATTATATTTCATTTTTGAAATAGGTTTTAAACTAAAAAAAAAATGAAAGGGATAATAGATATATTTTAAGATTTTTCTTGAATGGGTTAAAGTAAACATGGAAGAGAATTCCATACTGTGGGCCCTGTATATCTTACCGATTGTTGCATGTACTGTTTATCAATATTCCAAATGTGTAACTTTAGACTATTTCGAGTATTGTATTTATGAATTTTAGAGTTGGTTTGGAACATGGTGGCAAGAGATGATGGTGCATTAGCTTTAATACATTTGAATACAAAAACAGCAATTTGATATTTATTTAGGCTATAAATATTGAGGGTATTTAACTGTCTAAATAAAGGTTTAGAATGGGCAAAATAATGAGAGTTTGTACAATATCGTAGACAACGCTTCTGAAGTAAAAATAAGGGTTTCAACTTAAAAGGTCTTGTATTTGCCCACACGATGTTACCATATGATAAATAAGAGAGAATGAATGAATTATAAATCATAAAAAAATACATTTTCTGGTATATAATACTTCAGCTTTGACAATAATACATGCACAATATGTGATTTCTGCAATACGCTAGCTGTTTTCGAATGGAACGATATCAGAGCTTATTAGTAACCATTGCGTATTGTTATTGATATCAGATTTTATGAATCGTGGCCTTAGTATATAACGATGTCATGCCTTTATGATTACAATTGAATACTCTGTATAATTATTTGATGACTTACCTAGACATGATGCCAGCAAAATGATGGTACTTATGAAGAGTGGAATGAAATATCCTATCCTGTCATGAAATGATGAAATACCCAATAATACATTACCATTGAAAATATGTGGCAATTAGACTAAGTAATAAAAGGAGCTGGAAAAAGATCTCTTATAAATAATTTGAGAAAGGATATCTATTTACAGTAATTTTATATAACTGTACTTTGTATACATGAGAGGGGGAATAGAGAGGGTGAATAGAAGCTAAATGAGAGAGAGAGAGAGAGAGAGAGAAAGACAGAGAGGGGATGGAGATAAAGAAAGATAGAGAGAGATGGGGAGAGGGATGGAGAGATAGAGAGAAAGGAAGGGAGAGTGAGAGATAGGGGGGTGGGAGAGAAAAGAGAGGGAGCGACAGGAGATTTATCAATAAAAGGTTAAGATGTATTTAGTAAGGTAGAGTATATCGCAATATACAGCGAAAAAGTTCGAGGAGCCTGCGGAAACAAAATGAAACGGGGAATAATTCTTTTTTTTTAAATCATAAATACAAACGAACCAGTAATTTATAATATTTAGTCTATCGAAAATTCAATTTAAGACCCATTAAATAGTATTGGCAAGACATGATAATTTTAACATGGCGTAATAGCGGTTCCATGACACATGCTCCGCCGACGATTGCTCCGCCGACATTTGCTCCGCCGACAATTGCTCCGCCGACAATTGCTCCGCCGACATTTGCTCCGCCGACAATTGCTCCGGTGACAAATGCTCCTCGAACGACAGTTGCTCCGCCGACAGTTGCTCTGCCGACAATTGCTCCGCCGCCAATTGCTCCGCAAAACGCGACAATTGCTCCGGTGACATTTGCTCTGCCGACAATTGCTCCGCCGACATTTGCTCCGGTGACATTTGCTCCGCCGACAATTGCTCCGCCGACATTTGCTCCGCTAAAAAAGTGCCCCGTAAAATACAAAGGCTACTACGACAATAATTGTTGCTCCTCCCCAAAAGTACCCCGCAAAAGACAATGCTCCGCCGACAATTAAATTGCTCTCTGATCCAAAAGTGCGGCCTCGTAGAAGACATGAATGCTCCTCTGGCAATTAGTGCAATAAATGCTCAGCCGTTTTTTGCTATTCCCCATAATGTTTGATTTAAAAAAACATCAAGTTTTAGCTCCTTACACTGTTAAAACAAGTATTAAAAAACTGCGGGTTAAAAAAATTGTTGAATAAAAAACGCTCAACCATGGTTAAACATGTAGTGTTGATTAAAATTTACTTTTAATCTTGCGTTGGTTAAAAACAGTGTTGATCAAAACTATTCCTTTTAACCTATGTTGGTTAAGTCTAAGTCGTTGGCAAACATTGTAACCCAGCATGGATTAAAAACGAAATTCCGACAGTATGATAGCTCCCTTCCGGTTAAAGTTTAATCAATGTTGATTAAAGTACTGGTCACGTGACGCAACGGAACGATATCGAAGCGCGTAGCTAGCGATCGCTCGACACTATACAATTACAAGTACGTACAGTACATACAGCGCAGCTAGCTACATGCAGTATACGCGTGCGACAAAATCAACACAATACAATGGCGGTTGTCGCGAGGACGCTGCGGAAATGGGGGTTTGGACGGTCTTATCTCCGTGTTTACAGGTAAGAAATTATTTGATATTATCATCATCAATTCTAAGATTGTAAGGAAGAAGTGAAATAAGGTTCTTGCTCAAATCAAGAACGATTTGTGTCCCATTAGGCTGTACGTAGCTCAACCAGTAAGTAACTTTTTACTTGCACCATTATGTGAGCATTCATGCACCATGCATCTGGCTCTCGTATGCACACACACACACTCATCAGTCTGCTAGAATCTACTTCTACTTCTACTTCTACGACGATACTCAGCAGGATCCATAAGTCAGGATGTAGTGCTGAGGAATAAACTATCTAGTTCTTGGTCTAGATGCTTGGTGGAACCCGCCCCCCCCCCACTCAGTGTTATTTAGGGTACGCATATGCTCGTACCCTTTTTTTGAAAGCACCCCCTATCTGAAGACTGCCAACATTTCCGAACCCCCCTTTCGCGGGCTTTTCGCGGGCTTTTCCCCCCTAAATCAGGAAAAAATGCTCAATGTACCCCCCTAAATTCGGAATAATTTCTCAGGAGTCCAAAGAGATGAGAGAAAAAAAAAAAAACACCCCTTTTTAAAGAAATCTCCGGGTGAAAAGTCAAATACACCCTTTTTTTTTTTACAATTCTCGGGCCGGACTTTGTCGCACGAAAAGTACCCCTTTACCGGACATTTTGGCAACACGCATGCGGTCATTCCGACCTCTGAGTGGGGGGGGGGGGGGCGGGTGGTGGAAGCGCTCCCTTGAAGCCCTCCAGTGAAGTAGCGTCAAGGGTGATCTTTGAAAGTGCATTCCACGCAGTTACTGTCCGAGGGAAGGAGGCAGACACAAAGAAGGAGAAGTGTATTACAGATCACCCACCCAAATTGCATGCGTGAATGATGACTAGGTCTATAAGTCTATATATTTAAAAAAAAATCTAATCGTATCTAATAATTGTTTAAAACATTTAAATACAAACTAAGATGTCATCATGAAGTGAAACATGTGATTTGGGTAGGTCATCCGTTACACTAACTGAATACTGGTTGAGCTACAAACTACGGGCCCGGGATCGATTATTTTTTCCGTACCACTAACGCGTCACATCGGCCAATTTTATTCCGCAGAGCGACTTGGTCAAAGACCACTCTCGAAACCGTACGGAACAAACTGCCCTATAGTCTTCGCTCTCACTGTACTCTGTGTGTACGTGAGGAAGGGGTGCACTGTTTAATGTGTACGTGTGTTCTACGTGCTCCTTGATGGTGTCACGTGACACTGTCATGTGACTGTGTAAATGTGGTCGCCCCCTTAATAGCAGACAACGTTGCAAATGTTTATTTACAGACTCTTTGCAGGTTCTTTGTGGGCTACTCAGAGGTCCGACTTTAGTCATAATCAAATTAAAGCTTATGGTGACACTAGTAAAATGTTGTAGATGAAATCCTATAGTTTTGGTTTCCTTCAGTTTATAGGCCTATTTGGTCTGCCTGACAAGGTTCGTCTACTACTACTAGCTGTAATTTGAAAAATAAAAATATGAAGTGAATAGTTTACGTGTTTATCATTACGTCATAGAGGTAGAGAGGGCTTCCATTAAATCAATGTGATTTATTTTAACTTGCATTATTATGTTCTGCTATAATCGTGCTGTAAATAGGCTGTTAAACATCAGCGGTGGATCGAGGATTTGAAAATAATAGGGGCACAGTCGGAAAATTTGAGAAGTGTGGGGGGGGGGGGCAGCCGCATTATTAAAATGCGTCCCCCCCCCTGGATTCGCCACTGATACATTGTACTGTTGTATATTGTTAACTGGTAAATAAATACTATCATATAATATAGACGTTTGATAGATTAAATGCATATGTTTTTTACTTTCTGTTTAAGTCGGAATCCTAGAGAAAACTCTTAATCAAGTTTATTTTAATTGATTCAAATTATTATATAAAAAGACCTTTTGAAACACAAAGGATGTGCATTATTCGAATAGAGGGGAATAGCTCTGACATACTCCCACTCAACCTCTTGGCACTAGACTGTCAGTCCAAATCAGCTGTAAAATATTAATGTATTGTTTGGTCTTGTTTAAACCGATTTTTAAAATATTTATAAATATGATGTTCACTTTATTATCACCATCCATCGATATCAGCAATATCATATCTCCACCACCATCATTACATTCATCATTTTCACCACCATCACCACTACTATCATTATCAATCAGTCTCACAAACACTACCACTGCTTTCATCATCACTATGTGGCATAACACAATCATGGTCATCCCCACCCCATTCATTGCCCATCATCTCGAGCGTAAATCAATGCAATAAAGTTCTATGAAGAGAAACAAGTGGCTCGCAATCCTAGACAATTACAACAGATTCAAGCAGAAAATCCACAAAATTCCAATTAGCTTCAATGTTATTCTTCAACACTCTTCTCTCACCGTCAATGATATTTCAAACTTAAGAACGCGATCGATGAGACTTTCGTCATCCATTTTATAATTATTACAAACTTCTTTTTCTCATTTAATTATCTAAAATCCTTCATTTCTATTAAGAAGGTTTTCCTTTTAGAGCTTTAGTTAATACACTCCATCAATTGCCAGTTCAGTCAAGACTTAATCGTCCATCAGTTTTTTTTTCTCTCACTGTGTTTAAAATAAGAGGTGATGCCATGCAAGGAATTTGATGTGATTTGATTTGATTAGAGTTTCTTCTGCATTCATGTAAGTACAACGTTTTTTCGATAACAATAATAACATAAATTACAATAAGTATTTTTCTGACAATGCATCATAAATAAGCAAATATTGTTATTTTCAAAAAGGAAATGATAAAATGTCATAAATACATAATTTCCTCATACATTATACAATTATTTGCGGAAGAAGGACTGTCATTGTAAAGAAGATTGCTTGATAATACAACAGCCCCAGACAAAACTCATGAAATAGATTTACACGTTTATTAGGCAGAAACAGATAGGTAATTGAAAATACAAATTCTGATGATGATGACGATGATGATAATCATTCGACTAAAAGAGGAGATGACATTATGATAAAGACTTAAGAGTTTACACCGAAATTTTACCTTGAATATTATGATAATAACATCGTTTTAACTTTGGCCTTAAATAAGTAGAGGGAGCAACATGATTTAATAAATTCTGGGAGAGAGTTCCATGGGTCATGACCATGGTGTCTTATGGATCTATGGGCAATAAGTAATGTCAGGTTTACTAGATGAAAAAATGAGGAATTACGGGTAGGGTAAGAGTGAATGACTTTATTCATATATAGTGTATTAAACAGTTTTGAAATGAAAGAGGGAGCATATTATTTAAATACTTACTACATGATCAGTAAACTTTGTAGGGTATTTATGTCGAATACTATTAGGGTTTTCAGTTTGTAAAATATTGGACTTGTGTGAGACAA